ACAACTTTGTACGTTAACTTTCCAGAAATACCATAGAATGGTGACAGAGATGAACTTCTATCCCAAGAGATGTGTCTTTGACTAAAATCTGCTGTACATGTGTTATTTTGATGTCAAGTGATAGCCTTCACCTGGTAGGAATTCATATTTGTATTATTTCAATTTTTCTTTTCATAAATATCACTCTGAATTTTGGGTTTTGAAATAGCATGTCGCAGAAATAACTCCTGTTGGACCCTTAGACTTGCAAGAATACTCCAATCATTGGCCGAAACATGCCTCATTTGTGCTTCTTGCTTTGTCAGACCATACCCATACTTTTGAATTTCTCAAAAGCTTTAAAAGGGTTAAAGCTATTTTTGGAAGTATAAATGGGTTGATTGGTGACTACCACAGAAGTAGCAAATGGAGTTATGTCCGATGAAATTCTCTGTTTTGACTTGTGCCATACGTTTCCGTGTTTTTCGGGTTTAACAACTAACTTGCCTTTGCATGTGTTTGTTCCACTGGTGGTGCAGAATACCCTCACCTTTTTGCAATTTATTATTGTCCTGTTATCCTCACTGTTTGATAGTAGTTTGTACACGTAGGTATGTATGTCATCTTAATATATATCACTTGTGCAATCCCTCTTTTTGGGGTGTACTACAAACATAAATCGAAGTTTCTTTTGAGCTAGCATGAATATAATAAAATACTTAGCAAGTCTATGCTTATCATTACCTCTACTCCTACCAAAGGCTCTAATTGTGGCTAATTGTTAAATATTCTTCACGAATACTGTAAATCATGAAACGTGTAACCAAATTAATGCGAGTTTAGACCGCTGGCTCGACTGACATCCAGTTTCTGAAATGAACATATTTTACAAAAATAAAAACTTGTTTAATTATATTAATAAAATATATAGCTGCAGTAATCTAGTCTTGCCAACTATGATTGACTTGCATCGGCTGTATTGGATATATTTGTTTCAGGAACTGTATGACAGGCCTAAAATGCGTCCAAAAGTTATGCGAAAAACTTTGCTTTTGACCTGTAAAAGCTAACCAGCAAACGAAAACACCAAGACTGTCGACTTGGAATTCTATGATGTAGTTTTGGTGGCAGTTCGATCGAAACTACCATTTGCTATACTCAAAAACTTGACTTCAACTGTTGACCTAACTTCTATTAAATCAAAAGCAGGAAAATTTATCCTCATCTTTCAGGAAATAAAACATGAAAGACTTTGACATCTTGAGTTTTGCTGATTTCATACTGAATTCACTACAAAGGATAACTTTATGACGGGTGGTGGGGTCATATGAGCTTTGGTGGCAAAGGTATCAACATATGTGAGAAGAAAGAAACGTGAACCCAATATTTCAAATGTTGGAAAAAAGGAGAAAAACAGTACAGTCACGGTCCAGTGACCGTAACGTTTCCCTCTCGCTTAATTGTCTGGCTTCCGTCACCATCCGGCAAAGTCCGGTGGTCGTCGTTGTCCAGTGTCTTTACATTCATTGTTAGAGAATTGGTGCCCCGTAAATTTGGTGTCCTCCCATCTGTCAGACATCCCACTTGTTAGACACTTTTAGTAATGGTTGATTCATTACTAATACCATGCCTGTTACCTACGGTTTAAGTGGACTTTCTTCACCCATTTGTCAGCCAGTAAGGAGTAAGGAAAGAACACCAAAAAGGGTAAACTCATATGTTTATTTACAATACTAACAATTCAAATGACATGAGTCATATCAACAAAATTAAATCAATGTCAGCACTAAAACACGCATATCAAGTATGCAATGTATTAATTTGATATATTTATCTTATACATGTTTGCTACCTTGAGGAAGCGTATTAAGGGCCACGGTCTAAGAAAATGTATCATCTACGTAGATGAAAGTAACATCGACGTCGCGATCGATGAAACTATAATCTACGTAGATGATGCTTGGCTGACTTTTATATGCCAATTAAAGTAGGTTGGTGGCAATATAACCTACATAATAAAATAATATGCACTTTATGTGGTTTAAAAGACATCGGTGACGAATACGAATATTTGTGTTTTTGTTTTCTACGTCTAATAAAACAAGACGTAGATTGTTGACTTATGTCTTCATTAACCAAAGTTCTGTTCTGTTAGAGCGCCTCACTTCTAATTGACGTATTTATCATATATATAATGGCAGCATTGAAAACGCACCAGCAATAAATCTTGAAATATTACAAAAACAACTTGAGCATTGACCGATTTTGATTAGAACAGACATAGACGGATTATTAAGAAAGACGACAAAGGAAACAGGAATACCACACAGTAATTACAATTACGTCATCAGTGTAAGGAAGACACATAGGGTTAAAATGAAAAGTCAATATCTGGTATGTCCGCCATTGACAGCAACACAGGCCATGCAACGTCTTCTCATTGATCGAATAAGTCTGCGAATAGTGTTCTGGGGCATTCCACTCTTGACGTAGTGTATCTTCAAGTTCTCACAGGTTCTGTACTTGCGGACGACGTGAAAGGCGTTGACCCAGGTAATCCCATAGATGTCGAATTGGCGATAGATCGGGTGACAGGGCTGGCCATGGAAGCAGAAGCACATTATTGTTCGCTAGGTACTGTGTTGAAACACGTGCTGTGTGCGCTCTTGCATTATCTTGCTGGGAGGTGTGCATATCCTGGTGCTGATGAAAGAATGGGGTGACGTGATTTGCCAAGATGTTATTCCTGTAGTAAAGGGCATTAACTCTTCCACGACAAACATGGAGCTCTGTTCGATGGTTATGACTGATGCCGCCCCACACCATGACACTCCCTCCCCCCCATCGATCTGTCTGTACAACGCAGTCATTGTGGTAACGTTCTCCACGTCGACGCCACACTCGCAGTCGACCGTCAGCATTCCGTAAATGAAAACGGGACTAATCAAAGAACAGCACACCATGCCACTGCCGCAATCTCCAATGACGATGCCTTTTGGCCCAACGCAGACGTTCATTTCGATGTCGATCAGTGAGTATGGGTCCAACATATGGACGTCGAGCACGTAGCCCTGCTGAGCGGAGACGTCGACGTACGGTGTCAGCACTGATCAATTCCGTCGGCCTTGTACGGTTGCTGCAGTCCTGGTAGCCGGAAGGGTACGATCACGAAGATGCCGACGAACAATATGGCAATCCTGACGTGGTGTAGTTACACGACGTTGACCCGGACGTGGTCGATCTCTGGTGGTTCTTGTCTGCTGGTATCTGCTCAGTAGCCTGAGGACTGTTGAATGATGGCATTGAAACCGTTGTGCAACGACTCTACTTGACGTACCTACTTGAAGCATGCCAAAGGCACGTTCACGTTCCTCTGCTGTTAATCTTGGCATTTCTTGTGTCAGTACCCTTTACGTCTGCAGCAACAAGTGATGTGGCTTTTAAAAGGCTGTCTTTTATAGCCCTATTCTGCATGCTTCCCGTGAAACAAAACACGTTTTCCATGATGTGCACGCAATTTGTTGCGTTTTGGCGATTTCGCTCACAAAAAGTTTAGGAATGTGTTCAGCGGAAGTGCTGAATTCAACCGTTCTACGCATGTTCTGCTGTTTTTTTACTAAAAATATACCTGCTTGCTTCTTAGAAGAGTAATCCAGAGGGCTAGTGCAAATCCTATTTTACAACTCCTGTTTGTAGCTAGTTCTGCTATAGAGTCGGAAAACAGAAATATACACAATAACGACAGCGCCAATACATGTATATGTGTGTCTTTCCAAATGAATGTAAAAAATTAAGCCACGCCCACCGAGGCGGACAACTTTTATTTCTACAGAATGTCGGGGAATCCCACTATCACAGTAGAGGGAATTCCTTTTCTTCGCACGTGTATCGTCATGCACAGGACATTAAGCGAAATTCATGCATATTCATTATCCAAACAACTGACCATGTCATTTGAAACAGCCGCCTTCTCCCGAACTTATTTGTTCCGGGTCGTTACCGTCTGACTGTTGCAGTTCTTCTCGCCTCTTGCCTTGATTGACAGGTCCTATGAACTTTGTTTTTATCATACTCTCCGTTGATTGGCTACTGACTTTGTAGGCGTGTCATATGATGTGCATAAATTAAACAGTCACCTGATTCATGTCACGCCACAGTATGTATTCCTACACCCGGAATGCTTATAAATCTCGATCCACGCAATTGGGATCGATGACATGCATGAACCAAGTCAGCGAGCCTGACCACCTGATCCCGTTGGTTGCCTCTTACGACAAGCATAGTGGCCTTTTACACCAAGCATGGGTTGCTGAAGACCTATTCTACCCTGGATCTTCGCAGGCCGGTTCCCTGTGTAGGCTGCACTTGCGCTACAGTGTAGCACCAGACCAGCTTACCCAGGGCTCCAGGCTGATACCACCAACACCCCTATTTTCAGACACCATACATGTTAACTGCCTGGTATAAAGTGCACACCAACTCTTTACTGGATTATGGTCCATGTGTTCATGCTATCCACCAAGTCACAGTATGACCACCCGATCCTTAAAGTTGCCTCTTTTGATCAGCATAGGTTTGGGACAAGTCTCACCCGAAATGGATACAGAGAGGAGAGGCATTGTCCTGATTGTAGGAATCACATGGATGTTAAATTAAAGTTAAATGTTTTTCTCTTGCGCGAAAGTATACACCTTATGAGCAATCCTACTTTAAATAGCTGCCAGTTTGATGATGTAAAATCAAAGGTGCAATATCAGATTTGCTATTTTTTTCTATGAATCAAATGGTTTGAAACATACTTATATAAATGTATTTTATCATCCTTTTCTTATCCCAATAAATCACATTTTCTTGGCTCATTTTTATCATGAAGCTGGATATTTTGTTCCAGAATAACATCCGCCCCAATGATGATAGATGGTTTCAAGAGAAATCTTTTCAGCTCTGATATAGATCATAGTCTGTCAAGCCTTGTCAGCTGGTATGTTGATTTTTTAGACACAATCAGTATCAACACCATGAAGAGATAAAAGTTCTTTATTTACAATATAAAAATATCATTAATAGCAAAATCAGATCCATTTTTATACATAAATACAATCATAATTTAATACATGATATACACAACATACATATGTGCAAGTCATTTTTGCCAGATATATATTTGTACATAACTGCTGGTCCAGACACAACAAGCTACAGCTTCTGTTGACAGCTTCAACATTCATTACTCTTCTCCCATCTCTGTACTTGCTTATTCTAATAACATATTAACATATAACATATAACACAAATGACCAGTCCCATAAAAATCACATCTTTTACTCTGATATAATACCTCTCTGCATAAAGATTTGAAACCAACCTATAGGATATGAATTTTCTTTTGTAAAAATCAAAATTTCCAAATCAAAGTGGTAAAGAAATGAAGCCAGTTTCTTTTAGAAAACTTACTTCTGATAGGCTGAAAAATCCACACAACCTTCATTTAGATTAGGTGGTCAAAGTCCATCCACACTTCACCTGACATAACCTTCTATTGAAGGTATTGTATCAAGAGTAAAGATCTGATTTTGATGAGATTGGCAAATGACAAGTTTATGGTACATAAACCCATTTGGCAAATCCATATCAGATGAAGATGTTTTGGGATAACAAGCTTCACAGACTACACTCATTAGAAGACCTACACAAAAATAACACCTCTCGGCACATTTGGTTATTTTCCTGTTCCACATCAAGCTAAAGTTATATAGGGATACAAAAAGAATACTCTAATAAAAATCAATAAGATCTGCAAACTATGTGGCAAACACATTCAGGTTTTCCCCATCAGAAATTTATCATGCAACCTGATCAAGTAAGTCTTCTAACATGACTTAATAAGAAAACTTAAAGAGTTGTGTTAAGATGACACACAGAACCCCATCTGTTACTCTTGATTAACAAGTAGTTTCCATGGGCAATCTTTGCGATCACCCTTGAGATATTTTATGCATCCTTGATGATTAATGCAGTGAATAAGTATCTCTACTTTTGTTTTCAGTACCAGAACTACCAGAAGATGTTTCAAAGTTTATGAATCTTATAAAAAGTCTAGTTGGTGATGTGAAACAGGGCAATAAGCAAATCAACTACATGATGATGCCAGGCAAAATTCAGTGTCTACATCAGGTGTCTCAATCTCCTTCTTGGACCCTTGGGGGTTTCTTGCCTCTGCTTTCCGTGGCTAGTCTTTGTCTTAACTGACGGACACCATTCAATAAAGCTATTTCTTGGTCATCAAATGTCCTGCGACTACGTTCAAATGAGACTGAAAAAAGAGAGCAGTTTTCAAAATTAAACAAGAAAGTCAAGGAGGATAGGATATAGGTATATAAGTATATAAATATACAATTTAATGTAAAATTTACAACTTTCAAAACTGATCCTATCTCCCACTATGCATTTATCCCACAGTTGGATGATGGGGAGCAGATACCCTAGCCTTCCTCGAGCACCCAAAGCTGAGCTGATGCAAGTCACTTGGTGGACAAGTCGCCTGCCTTGGCAGACTACCCGACACGGTGCACTTGGAGGAAAACTTGGATCCCTGCTGTCCTTGACAGCCTCGTCTTCAGTCACGAAAGGAACTCGATTTCCCACTCCGGATTTCATGGAGGTCCTGCCGGGCAGGAACAAACTGTGGATGCCGTTGTTCTCTCTTCTGCTCCTCCAGATGCTGTCTCTGCAGTCCAAGGAGATTGACACCTTGAAATGGGTGTCATACCCATACATGTGACATACTGTGCGATATCTTGAATCAGGTTCGTGAAGAGAGACTGAGGTGACCTGGGATGCTGGTACAGGCACGCCTTAAAGGACGTTGAAGATTGTCCCACCGGAGAGATGTTGAAGAGACATGATCGATCCGGCATGATGTGAGAGAAGGTCCAAGATGGTGGTGATCTTATCCTGAATCATCACAACAGATCCTCTAATAAAAGCCTCGTCAGGAGATTAAGCATGGGACATCAAAGTAGGGTCCCAAGAGGGTCGATCCTCCAATCATAGATCGTGAGTGTGTCGATCTCGAGTTTCACAATCCTCAGACCGAGCAATCCTTAGAGCGCAAATCCTGTGATCAACTTTTCTTGGAACAACTACCCTTGGTAGAAGAGAGAGATCAATTTTTGCTCCATTGATCATAAGTAGAAGATGAACCTGTTTGACCAGTCCCAGGTGAAGCCTTATTTGTCACTATCGATAGAGGAACGCCAGTATCTTTGGACGAAGGGAAGCAATCGCCACTAAAAGGAACATCACACGAAGAAGCTGGAGACGAAAGACGACTGGTTGCTGATGATCAAGGAGCGCTAAGAGGGTCGACAGGAGGTGTAGTTGAAGCAGACTTTGACGAATTGACAGAAGGGAGAACCTTGCAAATGTTCGATGAAGATGTAGATTTCGAGCACCAGTCAATTTCCCGTCTATGGCACTTGCTTAGATAAATGTTGAAGGATTCACCCGTGAGATGGGCACACTGGGAACATTGCTTGACACTACTACAATGGCCACGACTGTCACATGCTACGTCGTGAGGGTCTTAGTGGAGAAGGTATGTCTACACTCAAGACAGGCTGGGCGAAAATTTTATGTTCAGTACTCATCTTCAGCTATATCATGGCATGTCCGTATATTGTGGAAGGAAACTGTACACTTTTGCCACAGCCATGTGAATAGTGCTAACAAGGAATCATTATGGGGCTGAAACAGGGATTTAAGCCCCTAAGCTGATCCTGGCATGGCTAAGGGACACAACTGATTGACAGTTATTAACTAAAGATACAGTTGGGACTACAAGTTCGCCTGGACTTAAACAATATCATAGAATGATTGATTCTGAAGAAAAGGTGGTGGACTATAAAAGCAAATGCATCCACATAATTATTACAAATACTGGTTCACTTACGTTTTGAGTTATCATCTGTGTTGACGCTGTCATACAACTCATTGTTGTCATGATAGGAAGCCCTCTGGTATCCTGCAATATTCAAATATATACTGCATTAATTACTGTAGTTAAGTAGCAAATATTTAAAGTTTAAAGTCGCATCAGCATCATGTCAGCCACATAGCAATGGGAACAAGTTGATATATATACAACTGAGTCATGAATAAAAAGTTATATTTAAAAACAAATTTGTTAAACATATTCTGTCATAACAATCTTATTTACAACTATTTAAAGCATGGGCTATAAACCACCAGCAACCAAAGCTAGGACACCTCGCTGGGAATCATGGGGACTTAAGGTGTCTCAGCTTCCTGCACGATATCCCAACAGCATTTACGTCATAACTTTAGCTTTTTGTGGTTGTGCACAATTCCAGTCAATAGTGGAACATAGACACTATTTACTTGCTTCCCAATATTTGCTACTGTAAAAAGATGATAACCCGTAATTCCTATCATAATCAATGTAACTATCATCAACTCAATGCTTTTTTTAAAAACTGCAATTGTACTCATCCAGATTGGCCATTGCCCACATAAAAAAAAAAAAAAAAAAAATATTTCTGAAGCCTTCATTTAAGCCTGTGATTTTCTCTCTGTGTGAGTAATGTTTGTGAGTGGGAGATTTTCATCACCTAAAGCACAGGTCTACATTCATTTTTCCCCAGCTCAAAACAACACTTCAAAGCACATTTGATGTCATACAAAAACATTTTAATTCTGCAGGCTAAAGTATGTTGGTACTTGTGTGTCCATTATCCTTTAGGACAAGTTCATAAGATACCTAGCTGTCTGACTACACTGCGTCCGATACTCACTGTTAACAATGTCAATGGCCTGCTGAGACAGGTCCCTGGCATGCTGGCGCCCAGTGTGGACATCTTCCTCCAGACTCTGCAGTCTCCGTGACCCGCTGTTCTCTCGGTCGTCTTGGTCCGCTAACAAGTCTCTATACCCAGCCTCTGTCTCATCCTCCTACAAACAATACATCATTCAAGTTTGTTAGCCCAGATGAGGATGAGAGACTGAATTGAGCTTAGCCTTAAATAGTATTTAGGTCATGGACCTTTTCATCTCAGTGAATCCCACAAGGATGGTATGGTGCTCACGAACAGGATTATAACCGAGGCCATTCTGGAAATCAAAGCCACGATCAGTGTACCCTGGTACGACTAAATGCTCACAGGAAAAGGTGCACCTTCCACAGCTACCTTCCCAGCAACATCAGACCGCTTCCATAGTCTGGTGGATAGAATGTCTGCCCAGAGAGTTGAAGGTCGGTGGATTGTTACCCTGCCTCGTCATATCAAAAGATCTTAAAAAGATGCTCCTTATTGTTACCCTGCTTAGTATTGGTATTAGGGGAATGAAACAAGGTCTGGTCAGCTCGGAGTCACACTACATTGTGTGAGTGGGCTATGCATGTGAGATCTCATCAGGATAGCACTATAAAAGCTGCATGAGTCTGGATTAATACAGGTGTGTGCACACATGCACGTTGCAATATAAGTGCAATAATATTTAACACGACATTAAACCCTGTTAAACCCCATTTGACCTCACCTCACTTTCTACCAAGAACTGTACATATGCCTGTTGGAATATGAGGCTATGCAGCCACACACATGTGCATGCACATCGCTAGAGAAGTGCAATAATCTTGAATGTGACATTAAACCCCACCTCACCCCAGGCACATCAGTGTTGTCTTACCCTATCATCATGGCATCTCCTCATCAAGTTGTGCACTTCCTGCTCCAGCTCCCTGTTTTGGACATGTAGACGAGACAACTGCAACGAAACCATACATCCAGTTGACTAACAGTTGTAATGGCTGATAGTAAATACAAATAATGCAGCCTCAGAACCAAGGGGCCCTTCCGGTTCCTGGTATAGTTAGTATCTTAAGATAAAAAAAAAAATCATTAGGAAAATTAGGACCCAATGGCTGATTACACAAAACACTATTGTTGCATAAAGTGACAGTGTGGACCATATACTTTTGAACTATCATTGAGATAAGTTCATGTGAAAAAGAAGATACCAGTATATATGAAGACTGTGTCCATAGCACAAAAACGTTATCAGGTAATAATTATAAACAGGCACATCCGGAAAAAGGGGTTAAAAGGAGTGTGGGGTACTGGAGACCAATTATATCTCTGGAATCCCTATGGGTGACAGGCATTGGGTATTGGTGACCTATCCTACCTCTGGAATCACCATTGGAGACAATCATTGGGTAATGGTCGTGGTGACTGGGGACTATTCAACCTTTGTAATGCCCATTGAAGACAAGTATGGGATAGTAGAGACATCTTCAACCCCTGGAAAAACCATGGAAGACTAGCATTGAGAGTCAGCCCTGGAATACCAATGGAAACAAGCAGAGGGTACTGAATATAGACCTGTTCTTCCTCAAACCCTACATGGGCAACCTGGGACCTATGCGGGCCAGAATGCCCAATACGCTAAGATGAAAGACACAGTGACTGTCCCCCTGCTGCTGTACCTGCACGTTCTTGGCCTCCCGCTCCAGGTCCTCCAGCTGATGGCGATGCTGCATCTCCTTGTGAGCCCACATGTCTATGTTCTTCTGGGATGCCTGGGCCAGGTTCTGAGACATCATCTGTAGTCACAAGTCAATACTTATAGTCAACATAGCAGGAAAGATAACAGCTGATACTATAGGTGAAATAACCAAGTATATGAAATCATAACAAGTAGGGCTAACACATTAATTAAACATAACACAACATACTAATAGGAAACATAACATCATTATTACTTCAAATCACACTGAAAGACTTTGAACATGATGAACACATATAATGATGTGATTTTCTGAAATTGTAATTAATGGACAACATGTTCAAAATGTACAGAGCTACATAATGGCTGACTGGACACGTGATGTAAGTAATCTGGAGACTGACCTTCCTGACTTCCAGTTCACGCTCCCTCTCAGCATCCCTAAGACGGTTCTGTATTCTCTCCTCCAGCTCCACCTGTTTCCGGTGCATGTCCTTCTCTGTGCGCAGTGTGTGTGATGCTGTCGCATACTCACGGAACAGTTCCTGTGCACAACATCATGAATGACAACTTTACTCTGAGCTGAACAAATAGACTTGGATTTTATGCAGCTTTGAACAGTATTTGTCATATCCTGACAAGTCAGCTTAATTTGGGAAGAAAGCTGAAAGTGAAGCAGGTTGTACAAGTTTACTAATCTAGTGCAACTCTCGAGTATGGTGACAAAACCCAAGGATCAAATCAGCACCAATCTGTGATTCAAATCCACGACCAGTGGATCCTGGCAAGGAACTCAATCTACACACCAAATTCCAGTACTGTAGATGACTGGGCCCTTTCAAATTAACCCATCAAAGGTTCTAGAGTCTTTTCACAACTTTCAGATAGGTACGTGAGCAAATTAACATAAAATGCACGAAATATGTAACAATGACAAATTTTCTCAGACAAGTCGATCATACTCATTCATGAATGCATGCCAACCTAGACAGGCCACAAATACTGGGGTATTGGACAACCGCCCATAATTGGAGCAGGAAATCACAGCAAGATGATATGCCTTGGAAATAGACTGACCCAACAATAAGCAGTAAGAATTGTACTGATTTGTATTGGGTTAAGCTGCCAGATCAACATTATTCACCACTTTGTTCCAACAACAAGTGGAAACTGCAGCACCAAAGAAGAGTAGATTAATCACATAAGCTAATGCAGATCCTACTGACCTGTTCAAACATCTTCTTCTGTAGCTGCAGCTCCAGGTTCTTGATCTCCCCCTCCTCCAGAGCTGCTGCTGTTTCCTGGTCCCTCATTAGAGCCTACAGATACAACATGAGATGGGCATCATGTTACATTCTACACAAATTGATATTGTCAAACAACTCTGTGGGACTCAATCTAACTGCTTGAGAAATGTTGTTAAATGGATCTTAAAGCCCAGGAATATCTGGACTTTTCAAGGAATAACAAAACATTTCTTGATATTGTTTTTCTTTCTCAGTTCTAAGATCTGAAATGAAATTTATTTGGCTTGAGGAAAAGTTTCAGTTTGATCAATATTTGAACTTGGCTATTAAATACAGCAAGATATTTTGGCAAAGTTTGCTATTAATGCAGTAACACACATGGCAAAGCTAGCTAGAGCCCCCACCTTCCTCTGCATCTCGTCATCCAGCCTCCTGAGCTCCGCCTCTCTCTGCTTCTGCTGGAAGTGGAGGAACTTCTGTCTGGCAGCATCCAGCAGCTGCAGTTCCTTGAGCTTTACCTCCCGGTTCATGGCAAACAATCTGTAACATGCAGCTCGGTAAAGGCAAACAGTCTGTAACATGCAGCTGGGTATAGTTAACAGTCTGTAACATGCAGCTCAGTATCAGGGATGTGAGCAGGTTTTCACGAAAAAAGAGGAAAATTCTAGGGGGGTCTGGGGGCATGCCCCCCCCCCCCCCCCCCCCCCCCGAGAAATTTTTTAAACATTTGATTGCATTTTCCAGGTCTAGGAGCAATACTGCCATAAACTTCAACCCCCATCCCCCAGACACAAGGACAACTGTCACAAGCGTGCAATGTCTGACCCTTTCCCCATGTTGAAGCATTTTGAAAAAAAACTCACCTTGTACTTACCTTTTGATGAAAAAAACAAAACTCCATTGCAAACATAAGACATTAATACAACATATATCCCCATGTTATGGGGCTTTGTTACGCTGAAGAAACATTCATAGTTTTCTCGCTAATCACATGAACAACTGTAAAACATCTCATTCACTTACAGGCTAAAAGACAACTTTATCTTAAAAACAAGCCATCAGCTGACTGAGTATTTACAATTCTGTGTGACGCCACACCCCACGTTATAGTGCAAGTATTCGTGATAGAAAACGTATGATGGTGAAAGCTCTGATCGAAAACAGGACAATCCGCGATGGTTGTCCGGTTTTCGATCATATTTTTCGGAGTGTTTTTAAAAAAAAAAATTATTTAATTTTTACGCGGAATATGTTTTTTTCCGAGGACTACTGTTTTAAAAAACGCGATTTCACATCCCTGCAGTATAGTTAACAGTCTGTAACATGCAGCTCAGTATAATTAACAGTCAGTATCATGCAGCTCGGTATAATTAACAGTCAGTAACATGCAGCTCGGTATAATTAACAGTCGGTAACATGCAGCTCGGTATAGTTTACAGTCAGTAACACGCAGCTCTATACAGGCAAACAGTCTGTAACATGCAGCTCAGTATAGTTAACAGTATGTAACATGCAGCTTGGTATAGATAACAGTCTATAACATGCAGCTCAGTATAGTTAACAGTCTGTAACATGCAGCTTGGTACAGGCAAACAGTCTGTAACATGCAGCTCAGTATAATTAACAGTCAGTATCATGCAGCTCGGTATAGTTAACAGTCAGTAACATGCAGCTCAGTATAGTTAATATTCTGTAACATGCAGCTCGGTATAGTTAACAGTCTGTTACATGCAGCTCAGTATAGTTAACAGTCTGTAACATGCAGCTTGGTTGGGGCAAACAGTCTGTAACATGTAGCTGTGTACAGACAAACAGTAACAGTCTGTAACATGCAGCTTGGTATAGTTAACAGTCTGTAACATGCAGCTCGGTTTAATAAACAGTCTGTAACATGCAGCTCGGTATAATTAACAGTCGGTAACATGCAGCTCGGTATAGTTAACAGTCAGTAACACGCAGCTCTATACAGGCAAACAGTCTGTAACATGCAGCTCAGTATAGTTAACAGTATGTAACATGCAGCTTGGTATAGATAACAGTCAGTAACATGCAGCTTGGTATAGATAACAGTCTGTAACATGCAGCTTGGTACAGGCAAACAGTCTGTAACATGCAGCTTGGTACAGGCAAACAGTCTGTAACATGCAGCTTGGTACAGGCAAACAGTCTGTAACATGCAGCTCAGTGTAGTTAACAGTCTGTTACATGCAGCTCAGTATAGTTAACAGTCTGTAACATGCAGCTTGGTACAGGAAAACAGTCTGTAACATGTAGCTGTGTACAGACAAACAGTAACAGTCTGTCACATCCAGCTCAGTGTAGTTAACAGTCTGTAACATGCAGCTCGGTATAGTTAACAGTCTGTAACATGCAGCTCGGTATAATTAACTGTCTGTTACATGCAGCTTGGCATAGTAACAGTCAGTAACATGTAGCTCTGTTTAGTTAACAGTCTGTAACATGCAGCTTGGTATAGTTAACAGTCTGTAACATGCAGCTCGGTATAATTAACTGTCTGTTACATGCAGCTCGGTATAATTAACTGTCTGTTACATGCAGCTTGGCATAGTAACAGTCAGTAACATGTAGCTCTGTATAGTTAACAGTCTGTAACATGCAGCTTGGTATAGTTAACAGTCTGTAACATGCAGCTCGGTATAATTAACTGTCTGTTACATGCAGCTTAGCATAGTAACAGTCAGTAACATGTAGCTCTGTATAGTTAACAGTCTGTAACATGCAGCTTGGTATAGTTAACAGTCTGTAACATGCAGCTCGGTATAATTAACTGTCTGTTACATGCAGCTTAGCATAGTAACAGTCAGTAACATGTAGCTCTGTATAGTTAACAGTCAGTAACATGCAGCTCGGTAAAGGCAAAGAGTATGTAACATGCAGCTCTTCAGACGCAAACAGACTGAAACATGCAGCTTGGTACATGCGAACTGTCTGTTATGTGCAGCTCAGTACAGGCAAACAGTACGTAACATGCAGTTTGTTATAGGCAGACAGTCTGTAACATGGAGCTTGGTCCAGGCAAACAGTCCGTAACCTGCAGCTCTGTCCAGGCAAACAGACTGTAACACGCAGCTCAGTACAGGAAACTCGGGAGGCAACTCATAATTGAATAAGATAACTATTTATCAGAAAACTGAATTTTTTGAAATGGAATACTTAAGATATACTACTTTTATTTTTTGTGGTCAGCTTCCAAACTGACTATATGTACTGGTAATGAAAGAAGAAAGAGAACTTCTTGTACGCGTACACCTGGGCTGCACTCACCTCTTCCTCTGGTCCACTAGCTTCTCCTCTTCATGCAGAATCATGTTGCGCCTCTTCTCCTCGGCCTCTGTCAGCAGCTGCTGCTGTCTGTACCATGCCTCTTCCTCCTGCTGCTTCTTCAGTGTCTCCCGCTGCACCTCCATCGACACCTTCCTGGAGAACATCACACACACTTGACACAGACACAACATACTTCCTACAACACATATACTTTAAAATGTGCTGAAGGTATGACAACATGGCCTCCTTATCCTAAGTAATATTAGTACAGGTACTGTGACTAACATAAAATGATGGGAGCTATGGGAATCTTGAGAAATGTAGAATGTTGACTTTGTTGGGAACCACATCATTACTGTTATTTGAACTTCAAGTGCAAAATAATCAGTGAGCAGAGAAGGTCTCCAGTACTCCATGCTCGACATAAGGGACGAATGAAATAAGGATGAATGATCTAGCTGATGTGTGTCATCTGCAACAGATATATAGACAGTCCAAGTGTTCAAGTTTCAATACTTATCGACTGGTCCAAGGGTTAGAGGACAGTGTCCTTCCATCAGTTACCCTCCTAAGTTGATATACATATGATTATGAAAACATATGCTAGAGTTTGTATCACTAGTGTAATAAAAATAAGTGCCTTACTTCTGTCGGAGATATTCCATTTCTTCTTGTCGAATCCTTTCCCGTTCTTGTACCTGAAAAAAGACAAGCAGGTTACGGCACAGAACACTTTGACCACAAAAAACTGACATTTAACAGTGGTTATTTGAGGATCATTTAACTAACAGCATCCACACAACAGGCTAAGATCAACCCTGTCATTGGCTCCTGAACAAAAGATTATAAGTCCCATACGCTTCCATTCGGATAAAATGTGCAAAAAAATGTAATTATTACCTACAGGGGTAAAAAGGAGTTTACTAACTCTCCAATATGAGCACATGTGCTTATAAGTAATTCTTAATACTGATTGACCAGTTGAAGTGATTGTTGAGAACAAAATATGACAGTGTCAATCTGTCTTGAAGTCACAAATTGAAATCATGAGGTCATCTGAACACAAAATTGACTTCAGTGAAATTTCAATGTGGGGTTGATATTAGATATTTATATCATTTTTCTTCTCTTTTTTTTCTAAATTAACTTGTTGAAACAAAGATGAAACACAAAATATTGGCAATTTTAAAAACATGATAAAGCCAGCCAACTTTCACACACAGGTGACAAAGGGGTCTGCACTTTGCTCTCTGTTTTTGTTTGTTTGTTGTGTAATGCCGCACTCAGCAATATTCCAGCTATATTACGTGGGTCTGAAAATAATCTAGTCTGGACCAGACAATGTAGTGATTGACATCATGAGCATCGATCCACACAAAAGCCTGACCACCCGATCTCGTTTGTTGCCTCTTATGGCAAACATGGGTTGCTGAAGACCTATTCTTTCCCCGGATCTTCACAGGCCTTTTCTATCTGGTACTTATCACAGGGTGTGACAATTATTTACAAAGATTGTGTACTGGTACTCTATGTTTCACTTCAACATATACACACACCTGATAGTCGACAATAAACTTGGGGTATTTGTTAAACACTGGGTATTGCCCTCTTGTGAGAGGCTTGAATTCCTCCAGAGACTTGCGTGGGTGAATGTCAGCAGGTGTAGATGCCATGAGGCGATGAGCCTCCTTCAGCACCTGCTTCACATCTACAGCATTACGGTGGTGGAAGAAGTACTGCAAGGCAAGCACAGATGTAGAGTGTAGGTCCATTGGGATAAAGATTTAACATCACCTTTGGAGAAGTGATGGGCAGGATGTGTAGAACAGATTCTACCTGATGCCTTGATTAGCTCCATAATTCAGAGAGAGGTGTATGTTACACTACTTGGTATGGCATTTTGTTTCTATCACAGAATGTCTGCTTAATGTGTGACGAAACAACTATCATCGGATCCTGTCATCACTAAGGTAAACAATCTACACAACACCTTAGAAAAGAGAGAGAGAGAGGGAAAGAGAGTGGAAGGGAAGGAGAGGGAGAGGGATAGGAAAAGAATGTGACTGAGTTAGTGAGTTGGGTTTTCATGCCATTTGAACACTAGTCCAGTTATATCATGGCGTGTCAGCTTAATTGGGAAGAAAGTCAAAAGTGATGTATGTCTCAGACGTTTACCAGTTAGGTGAAACCCACATGCACGGGAATGGTGCTGACAAACCTAGAGTGCCCAAGGGATGAAACTTTGCACAGCAAATGGTGGCTCCATAGACAATTGGGAGACCCATACCCCCAGAGGGACAGACAGCAAGAGGGAGGGAGAGTGAAACTGAAAGAGAGAGGGAAGGAGAAGTAGAGGGAAAGAGAGTGGGAAGTTGAAAGAGAGGAATGATATTATATTTTCCTATGATATGATTACTTCTATCAAAACTACCATATCAACAGTGTAAGGCAGTTTCAATACTTCCTATTAATATTCAAACCAATTAGCTGCTGTAGCTCCTTACCTTGAAGTCATCCAGCTCTGTACACTGCATGAGAGGACCTCGAGCACAGATGGAGTAGGCAGCCACCACCATCAGCAGGAAGGATGGGTGATTACTGAACACATTGTCCCACATCATCAACCACTCCTCTTTGGTTAGGACCTCAGAAAAAACTGTTTCAAGAAGAGGCCAGCCGTAAATCTGAAAACAGGAATGACAATCTGAAGGGTTTTTTTCAACATAACAAGTGGCACATGACGATTTGAAAGCTTATAAAATTTCAATTTGCGGGTCTCAAGACTAGTGATACTTATATGCAATACAGTTAATCATTTGGGTTTGGACATTTTCCAATAAATTGTATATTAATATACTTATTCTATCTCACACAATGAATTTTTCCTTCTTCTTTGATCATATGTGGAAACATGCTTGAACACCTTCTAAAACCAATTCACCCAGTCACATGGAAATGCTGTAAAAGGTAAGCCTGTATGCTTCTAGTTTCAAAGCTGCCTTCATGGTCTTGTGGATTGAGCGTCTGCTCAGAGCGGAAGTTGGTGGTTCGATTCCCGGCTGTGTCATACCCAGAGATGTTAAACATAACACTTGTTGTTATCCTGCCTGGCAGTCAGCATTAAGAGAAAACAACAAGGACTGGACAGCTTGGAGTAGGTATACCGGGTCTGAGTGGGGTGTCCATGCATGTTAAACTGTGGCACTGTGAAATGGCATTAGTCTGAACTTGTACAAGCAGCCACACACATGTGCATATCAAACTTGCTATGTGCAATAATCGTGGATGTGATGTTAAACCCCATTTCACCTGTAGTTTCAAATTATCTCCCTGGATGACTTGAGTATGAATGGAGATCATCGTCTTAAGGGTGACTAGATGAGTGAGTGAGTGAGTGGGGTTTAACGCCGCTTTTAACAGATTTCCAATTATATCATGGTGTGTCAGCTTAATGTGGGAGGAAATCCCGAAAGATTGCAGGTCTCAGACATTTACCACTTTGGTGAAACCCATGAGCAAGGGTATGGTGCTGACAGACCGAGAAACATAATCAGGGGGGAACTGGGATTCGAACCCACAATCATAGGTTTTTCGCGTGCCCACACAGTGAATAGTGGCGCCTTAGACAACTCGGCCACTGTCTCCCAATTCAAATTGTATGAATGTACATATCAATCTAATGATCACCCAAATTACATGGAAACAATGTCTAAGTTTCATTCAAGCAATAATTGCAACGTGCAGATCTTGTCTGAAAATACGCAGCAGAGCACAATGCCTGTAGCTATATACTATTCAAAAGAAGATGAGGACCACCCAATTCTTTCATTTTACTACAGATAATCTGTCATGGCACGGCAGATTAACTTTTGTAATAGGAAAGAATTTAGGGTGGTCCTCAACTTTTTTTTAGTTATTGAGTTATCAGTGTTCTGGAACAACCAAACATTGACCTGGACTATTGATTCAGGACACAGGAATACAAAGAGAGAAATACATCACTGCAAGTAAGGGGAAGCAATTTTATTTACAATACACTTTCTATGTACAATAATGTGAAAAGCACAAAAACAGCACTATTACTGGGGAATGCAATGAAAAGATACAAATCTAAAACAAAACATGTTTCAGGCAATTAGCATATCAAATCAATATGTCCACTACACTTTGTTTCCTTCAGTCATCTCATACACATTGCCATAAATACACATGCATAGAGCTTGTGGCACTTGTAGCATCTTCATTATCAGCAATCACTCAAGGAAAAGCCATTGCATCTGCATCAGTTGTGTTAAACACAATATCCTAGAATCAATATGATAGTTGGGATGTTCTTGTCAGTGAGAGTCAATATCATCAAAATAATGATCTATCACTATCACATCCATAGTTCATCTCACAGTGATCCTAGTTCACAGAGATTCCAAATCAATCTGGTCTGTGCTGAACATATTGGATCTGTTCACAATGTCGGAGAGTTGCTGGATAATATCCCCATACATTCTAGGCGTCTTCTCACTGCCGCTCAGCTCGCTACAAATAGACATCAGGCTTTGTTCCACCTGCATCTTCTGACGTTTCGGCTTGGTGTTAGCACTGCGGTTCCGCTTGTTGGCAAACCAGGCTTTGACCTGAGATAGAGAAATACCACCTTCCTCAGCCATCTTCACCTTCTCATCATCGCTAGGGTAGGGGTTGTGAAGATGCTGCTCGTACCACTGCGTCATGATCTGAACAGCCCTGGGACTAAGCTGCCGTGATCTCATCTTCCCTTGTGAGCAGTCTTTCTGTGAGCTGACGTCAGAGGGAGGGATTTTCTGCTTCAGCAGCTGAAGGCTGGATGTCACTCTGCTGATCAGGTGGACACGTTTACGGTCAAAATGATTGTGAACACTCAACATCTCTTTCTGTAGGTGTATCGAACGGGAAGTCTTGAGGCTGGTGATTGCAGCTGCTCTTTCCTTCTCAATGTCAGCAATGTTACTATAGTAGAATGTCTGAAGTTCGAGAACCTTTGGGTGATGAGTGATCTGGCGGAACTCAGACTGAAGACTGGCCTCCTGGACTGCAGTGAATGAAGGGTCTAGTGTGTCACTGTGACAGAATGTAGGGGTATCGAGGGTTTCCACAACAGACTTCAGCTCCTTGTCATGCTTAGCAGCCTGGAACTGTGAACTGGCTTTGTTACATTCTGGAACTAGGGCAGCTCGGAGCTCTCTGAACATGGGGTTACTGGAGAGCTTGGCCAAGGACCCTGTATAGTACAAGCAGCTGTCTGTGGGCAGATCAACTATCGATGCCATCTCTGAGCTTCAAAAGTTCAACAGACTTTGACAAGTGTGACAAATCACTGATTTAGACCTGAGCTTATGCCACAAATTCAGAAATGATAGTTTCTGGCAGTGTTCAGGTATATTAAGCAAGACTACATGAATCTGAGCCTGACAAGTATGTGGACCAATCAGAAGCTAGGGCCAGTTGCGAATTAGCCAATAAGAGTAGGCTGTGGTGCTAACTGGCTTGTGAGTGAACATAGTTGCAGACCAGTGTCAACCAATTAGTCACACAAGCTTGCTCACTGTTCAGAGGTGGCAAACAATCAGTGAACAAGATCACTCAGCCAAGCCCACAAGTGATAACAATACTGCCACCCTATTGACAGGGAACACAGCTAATCCATTAATTAAGGGCTGAGGTCATTTACCTAATTAGCAAACTCTGTCTATCTGTGATTGCCATTTGAGAGTCAATGTATTGTAGACATAGATAATGCACATTCATTGATCCTATTTTTCAATTATTTATTCATAGTTAAATTCCTGAGATGCAACCATCTTGTCCTGTAAATATGTTAAACGAAGATCAAATAAGAAATTGAAAAAAGATATGAAAAGAAAATGTTCTTAAATGTTTTTGTTAAATTTACAGTTTTATTAATAGCAAGAACTAGCAAATGCAAATATGTTCCATACCACATACAAATAATACAAAAAGAATGCATGAGTTCTGTTCAACAGTTGCATCATAAAAAATAGAATATTAGTGGTCAAGCTAAACTTTTCAGCTACTATCATGATTTGTGCATAATTTAATAGAAGATATATTTTATTACATCTCCACAGGACATCCTCCCAAAGTAACATATTTCACCTGGTCCAAATTTTCATATGATTACATCAAAGTCTTTGATAGGCACTTAGAAGTTGGAAAAACATGAACACATGACACCTTTTCAAGGACAACAACTTCTTTTGTTCAGGGTCAAGAAGTAGCTCTGAAACAGCTTTACAAAGAATAAACGAAGTTGTTATCCACAAGAAAAAGTCTTTGTATTCATGATGACATTGAGATTTGAATTCAATTGCATGATTTCAGTGTTGTTTTTCTCGGTTTACCTTTGTACTTCCTGTCATACTTCCATCACTGGGTTATGTTAGTTCATCGAATTTCATCAATAAGAAACGGTGATGATTAATGATGTGTGATAATTTTATGTCAGACAGGTGTGATTGTCCAGTTTGCAGGCTGCGATTTGGGCTATTGTTCTCTCTAATGACACTAGCTAAGGTACATTATGAAAAATCAGTGAACAGTAATTGATTGGCATAAACTGTATAGGCCACACAACTCATTCATTATTCTACAAATAAAAAATAGCCTAACATTTTGAATTATCTTTTGCAAAAATACACAAAATAAGAAAAACTGTTTTTGTTGTTTGTTTGTATTGTTGTCCCTATGTTTAAGTTTTCTTTAGGGAATGAATCTTAAACAAACCCGACAACATTCTTAAAATCTTTATTTTTCCCACCTTTTCTATTTTGGCACATACCGTATTTGACGAAATAAGTGCCCACGGCGATATTTGCTAATATACTGGCTTGTGAACAATCCCAAATAGCACCCCTTCCGATTGATCAATGTACACAAGACTTATTTAATCGTGTATAAAATACACTTGTGTGTTATATGCACCCTTAATTATGGGCACTTAAATTCGTGAAAATGAATCTGTCGTGTATAATATGCACAGACTTTTCTTTTGTATCATTTCAGGCTGTCAGCATAAACCATGAAATTTACGATCTTTCAGCTCTGTTTTTATTCTCACCAAAATTATATTCAAATAAGAGCCCCTATTTCTAATTTTGAGAGCTCCCTTGGCACTTGTTACGTCGAATATGGTAATCCAAAAAAGTCTGTAAGCCATTTAAAGCTTTTAATCTAGGTGCTAAAATGATTTGATGTACTTCTTGAAGTAAGACCCGTTTTATTACAAAATAAAGACCTTGACTATCAATCAGATCGTCTAGATTGGCTATTTTGTTTAAAGCAATAAAAGTGATATATAAGGGGTGAAATCTGATTGTCAGTAGGAGTGAGTGAGTGAGTATGGTTTTACGCCGCTTTTAGCAATATTCTAGCAATATAACGGCGGGGGACACCAGAAATGGGCTTCACATATTGTACCCATGTCAGGAATCAAACCCGGGTCTTTGGCGTGACGAGCGAACGCTTTAACCACTAGGCTACCTGACCGCCCCTGTCAGTAGGAGGAACATAGAAAGGACATAAGTCATAATAGCCACTGTTGGCTCTATGATTGAGCCACGAAATTCCAGCCTAGTTCAGCAAGGGTTGAAACTGGACTTTTGTAGTCAGTTAACGCCCTTGCCATCGGGAAAATGTAGTTCTTATGGCTTATAGTTCTTATGGGAGGACACCCATGCACAGGGCATAGGTGTGTAATCATTCACCAACTGTTAACAGTAACTGAACTTTCATCTTAATGTGCAACATCGCTGCAATAAAGTTAACACTGTATTTCTTCACTTACCTGTGAAGTGACCTTGCACTTGACGAAGTGTTGCAGCAGGTATCTGTCATGATGAGCAATGATGTTCTCCACCATGGCTAACACATTTATTGGAGGGTTAGGGAAATACTCAAACCAGTGGCCACCCCAGTTGCCTGCAGAATAATCACACCACATTAATGTCACATGTATGAATTTCTTCTACAGAATCCTATTCCTAGGGCTCCCCCAAAATAACACGTTTCTTATTTCAGCACGTTCCAAGTTAGGGTAGATAACCACTTAGCTACCCGCATACCCCAGAAAAAAGGCACTGGTTGTTCATGAAACAAATCCGTACTTACAATAATGAAATTCTATTTAGGAAAGCAAGTCTTCATTATTTCTTTACTTGTTCAATTTATTCAGTCTTCTCAACTATAACAACTAGGAATAAGTAGAAGACTGTCATGCTAGTTAAGACTGTCAGGCTAGTAAATAGTCTCTTTACAGGGGTCAATTTAACTGCTGGCCCGTTGGCCCATGACCAGTCAAAATTACAAAGGGCTTGCTGAAACGTAAAGTAGATGGCCTGCCTGGCTAATAAAGATTTCACCCCTTCTCTGTGTATGTTTAATTTTTTTAATTGGATCTCGGTAGAATGACAACTAGCCGCTATTTTGTAATGTTGTGTACAGCAACATCTTTATTTGCTCATAAATCGCCATGAAATGAGGCAAATGGAAGCCAAGATTTCATCTCAGAGTGAAGGAAAAAGAGTTTTAGGGGTGAGGAGCCATGCTAGGTTGCTACAAGATCTCAGGTACAGCCACTTTGCAGCCACCACCATGTAGTTGTACGCCTGTTAGTTGGGAGAAGGGTCTGTAACTTTTAAAAGGAGCAAGCCCTGCTTGCGACATACAAATTTGTTTTTAAATCTACCCCTGCCTTTTTTAAGAGTAAAGTCTGCTGTATATGTGATGTTGTGATATGTATAGCATCATGAAACAATATCATTTGGTGGCATTTTAGAAGCTGTAGTATCAACGAACACAGAGATAAATCTTTATTTTTCAATGCAATACCAGATGATGGTGCAAGTGATCACACTAGTTTTAAGAGCAGAGAGTTAACAGGAATTAAAATAAATCATGCAGTCTGTGCCAAAAGTTTTGAGTCTAGCAGCCCGAATCTCCCATCAGTTCCAGCAGACTTTAGTGTTAAATATGAACTTTGGATAACCACCTTTACCAGACCAAAAGATATTTGACTCGAGGAGACTTAGGACATAGGCGGGTCAAGGATTTGGAAAAGGTGGGGTGCACATGATACTCAATTCATGAAGTGACTTGTCCGAGGGTGCATTTAACATGTAAGGTGTCTGGAAAAAGGTGGTGTTCGCACCCCCTGCAACCCCTGCACCCCACACCCTGGTTCAACCAAGTTATTGACATGTATCAGGATAGGTTCTTACTAAATGATGCTTGAGACCAGCTGTTATTTAACATCAGTTTGAAAAGTACTTTAGCTATATTATGGCGTGTGAGCTTAATGCAGAAAGAGTGAGTGAGTTGGGTTTAACCCCGCTTTTAGCATTATTCCAGTTATATCACGGCGTGTCAGCTTAATGTGGGAGGAAAGACTGAAGGGATGCAGGTCTCAGATGTTTACCACTTCAGTGAAACCCACAAGCACGGGTATGGTGCTCACAAACCTAGAAACATAATTGGGGCTAACCAGGATTTGAACCCACAATCATAAGTTTCTGGCGTGGCCAAGGGACACAACTCTGCACTGCGAATCGCAGCGCCTTAGACGACTGGGCCACCCGTGCCCCCTAATGCAGAAAGAACTCTCCAATTATAGATAAGACACTTTTGACAGACCAAGGGTATGTTTGTTTGTTGTTTAACGCCGCACTCAGGTATATTCCAGGGGCAGTCACCAGACAATCCAGTGATTGACATCATGATCATCGATCTACACAATTGGGATATGATAATATGCATCGAGCAAGTCAGTGAGCCTGACCACACGATTCCACTTGTCACCTCTTACAACAAGCATAGTCTCCTTTTACAGCGAGCATGAGTTGCTGAAGACCTATTCTAACCTGGATCTTCCCTGAGAGAAGTTTTGAATCCAAACCCCAAATCAGCATATATAGGATGCACCTCTGTACATCCAAATGGAGCAGCTTAGACCACTGGGCCACCCAAGGACTTGATGACGCTAGAACACATATTGTTGAGAAAATAACTTATTCAAGATGTTTACCTAAGAGAGTAGCGATGATTTCAAAGCAGACCAGGTGGTTATTCTGGAAGAGCTTGACGAAAGGGAAGGCAAGCATGGGAAGATACTGGGTTTCCCCAAATATTGGTGACCAGTGTGCTAGCGCTGACAGGACTCTGAAACAGTAGTGAGGAATCAAACATTATGCCTTTAGTAGATTATTAATACTTAGTCATCAAGATTTTTAGTTTGCATATTTTATCAGTTTATTTTATGCATAAACAAGATATTGTATCTCACGACAGTAGAGCTATTCAAGAGCTCATTCACTTCTCAGACACTCTATGTTTCTAAAATGATTATCAGGACTGAGGTGTACAAATACTGACCTCTGCAGTACTCTCAACAGTTTTCGGCTCTTTATAGGGTAGGCCTCGTGAAGTTTGGAGTAAGCAGGGTGAGCTCCCTTGTCCACCAGGGCGCCATACGCAGCATGGTTCTCTGGCAGCCGCAGGACCGATCTCCAGATGAACATTCTGAAGACACATGCATGCAAGCGCAAAATATAGATTCCTGGCAGATGTAGTGTCCGAAATAACTGTTGACTACCATTTGTGACTGGAAACATTTGTCGGGATAGGTGAAATTTAATTTTACCTGCTTGAATGTTAGAAAATTATATTACTATATTGATACTGACAAGTTTGAATCAGACATTGATATGTGACACACTATCCTGACAGCAAGTTTGTATTAATATTTTTTGGATAGATTAGAGACCTGCAATATTGTTTGCTATTGTTATTTGTTTTTTAATGCCGCACCAGCTATATGACGGTGGTCTGTAAATAATCAAGTCTGGACCAGACAATCCAGTGAGTGATATCATGAGAATCGATCCATGCAATTGGGATATGAAGACATGCATCAACCAAGTCAGCGAGCCTGACCACCTGACACAAATAACCTCATACACATAACATATGAAACTAGACACAAATAATTTGTACTCTGAATCCCATGTCATGATAAGATATTAAGTTTTATGCCACCTTTAGCAAAGTTTCTTTTCAAACAAGGAAAGTCCTATCCAATAAGAGCATATGGCTGCACATATTTCTTTTACTGTTATTGGTACATTTGCCATGCTGGGACCCCATCATCATGGCTGGGACCTCCATCATTATGACTGGAACCCCCATTGTCATGCCTGGGACCCAGTTATCATGCCTGGGGTCCATTATCATGCCTGGGGTCCATTATCATGCCTGAGGAGCATTATCATGCCTGGGGTCCATTATCATGCCTGGGGTGCATTATCATGCCTGGGGTCCGTTATCATGCCTGGGGTCCATTATCATGCCTGGGGTCCGTTATCATGCCTGGGGTCCATTATCATGCCTGAGGAGCATTATCATGCCTTGGGTCCATTATCATGCTTGGGACTCCATTATCATGCTTGGGACCCAATTATCATGTTTGGGACCCCATTATCATGCCTAGAACACCCATCATGCCTGGGACCCCCATGATCATGCCTGAGGAGCATTATCATGCCTGGGGTCCATTATCATGCCTTGAACACCCATCATGCCTGGGGTCCATTATCATGCCTGGGGTGCATTATCATGCCTGGGGTCTGTTATCATGCCTGGGGTGCATTATCATGCCTGGGGTCCGTTATCATGCCTGGGGTCCATTATCATGCCTGAGGAGCATTATCATGCCTTGGGTCCATTATCATGCTTGGGACTCCATTATCATGCTTGGGACCCAATTATCATGTTTGGGGCCCCCATTATCATGCCTAGAACACCCATCATGCCTGGGACCCCCATTATCATGCCTAGAACACCCATCATGCCTGGGGTCCATTATCATGCCTGAGGAGCATTATCATGCCTGGGGTCCATTATCATGCCTGAGGAGCATTATCATGCCTGGGGTCCATTATCATGCCTGGGGTGCATTATCAGGCCTGGGGTCCGTTATCATGCCTGGGGTGCATTATCATGCCTGGGGTCCATTATCAGGCCTGGGGTGCATTATCATGCCTGGGGTCCATTATCATGCTTGGGACTCCATTATCATGCTTGGGACCCAATTATCATGTTTGGGACCCCCATTATCATGCCTAGAACACCCATCATGCCTGGGACCCCCTTTATCATGCCTAGAACACCCATCATGCCTGGGACCCCGCTATAATGCCTGGAGTCCATCATCATGGCTGGGACCTCCATCATTATGACTGGAACCCCCATTGTCATATCTGGGACTTCCATTATCATGCCTGGGACCCCCATTATCATGCCTGAGGAGCATTATCATGCCTGGGACCCCCATTATCATGCCTGGGACTTCCATTATCATACTGAGGACCCCATAATCAAGACAATGGGACCTCATTGTCATGCCTTGGACCCCCATTATCATGCCTGGGACCCCATTATCATGCCTGGGACCCCCATTATCATGCCTGGGACTTCCATTATCATGCCTGGGACCCTTTATCATGCTTGGGACTTTCATTATCATGCCTGGGACCCATTATCATGCTTAGGACCCACATTGACATGCCTGGGACCCCATTATCATACTTGGGAGCCAATTATTATGACAATTATCATGCCTGGGACTTCCATTATCATCCCTGGGACCCTTTATCATGCTTGGGACCCCCTTTGACATGACTGGGAACCAATTATCATGCCTGGGACTCCCACTGTTATGCCAGAACCCTTTGTGAGAGTCCCCTGGACTCACAGACCCTACTTATGATGCCCTATTCTGATATCTCATTGCTTTCATCATCCATCTACTCCCTTACTAATGCAGCCTACCTGTATTTATAAGGGTATTCCCCGAATTCCTTCAGAATAGCACTCAGCTTGTCCATGTCCAGGCCTTCTGGTAGACTTGCCTGAAATATTTGAATCTAATAACCAAGTCTGCCATACATGTACAGAATATAACAGCAGAAAATCCTCTCAAGGTTAGTTAGTTAAACAGATGCTACAAAAAAGGCCTTTAGGTTTTATTCCTTATTAGGTGGTTGGTAAAATGTTTGATGTAGGTGGTTGGAAGAAAATATTATTTTTCTCCTCAACTTTTAAATTAATTATCAATGAATTAATGAAAATCAGACAATTTTTACTTTGGCAGGATATTATGTTTAATGTTCGTAGTCTTGGCAGTTGATGGTTTGATGTAGTTTTCTTGTGTACACCCATTACTAAGAGAGGGTCAAGGAGAAGTGTGTTCATTGAGAGTATCAACTGCCAATTCTAAAGTAGTTGCAGCAGTCATCAGATTGAAGTAGTTTGTCCTCCAAACTCATAATGCTTACACATTCCTGGGACGCAACCACTAAATATTGTCCAAAGTTGTTTTTTCTCATATAACTTGAAATCAACTGACAAAAAAACAGAACGCCCAAGCAACAGAATACAATCACTAAATCCCCAATTCATGTCCAGGTCTACTTTGATGAATGTCATGAGTGAACTTTGATTGTCACCAGTCCACAATATTCCATCCACCAGGCACATGACAGACACCATCAGGGTACAATGAAACACACTGAACCAGGTTACACACTGTGACCATCAATATTCATTTGTCAAGCTCTTTCGAAATAAATGGTGTATTGGAACCAATTTTGCCCAATTCTGGACAGAGTAGGGCTCATATGACTTCCGTGATTTATACACAGCCTCATGTCATTAGTTCACTAAAGCTACACATCACTACTACACTACAAAGCCTCTGTATGTATTCACGGGTGATGGAGGAACCTAGTGTATCCTGACACTGTGTATGACTATCTAAGAGCTTCCTCTAACCAGGTTTGGCCACAGAGAGTTTACATTCATTTCTTAAATCCATGCCAACTGTAAGCTGTGACTGTCTACTGACTGTGTCATCCTCATCCTGGGTTCGTCGCCCTTTTGGTCGCCTCCTGCGTGAGAAGGATGTGGAAGACTTGTGAAGGTTCCCCTCATTGTCATTTTCAGTGGAAACTGTGTCCGACATTTTGTTTGAGGCCACGACCTTCACCAGGGGAGCTGGTGGCTGAAACACCAAATTTCTCGGATAAAGAATTTCAAAAGTTTCATCCCTATCAAAATGGCACAATCTTCATACAACAAAGGTCTCATATTTCTGAAATTCACAGTAGCTCACTCTCAATACTTCCAGTAGTACATGTAGCTGCAAATTTAGAGCTATGTGAGTTAGTGAGTAAGTGAGTGAGTTAATATTTAACGTCACATCAGCAATATTTCACCCATATTGTGACAATCATAGCCATTTATTGCTCCGCCTTTACCATACAACCACTGGATGCTAATACACAGCAGCGATTCACGCCTTCATAAAGTTCTACTTAAGTCTGATGCTGACATTGCACACGATCCATCAGAGTGCTAAATACATACTATCATGGAGCAATACATGTCTGTGATTTCACAGCTATATCACTAAATGCCAATGTCTGAGGATATGTCAGAAGCTCACTATAACCTGCAAGGCCAGTGGTTGTCACTAACATGCATTTAGTGATGCATAAATATCCCGTTTTAGAAAAAAATGCCAAGAAGAAACCAACAATTTTACTATCTTCCTTTATCATATATTGCCATATTTTATTTTACTCTGCACTCAGCAATATATGGTGGCCTGTAAATAATCAAATCTGGGCCAAAACATCCTGTGATCAATATGGTGAAGAACGCTCAATACTTTGAAGGCACAACTCTTCAATCAATCAAGCAAGTCACCAAGTTTCACTGCCTGATCCACAAAGTTGTCTCACACAACAAGCACAAGTTGGTTGGGATCAATTCAAATCTGACTCTCCTCCAGGAGAGTTTCATTAGAATTATTGACTTTCTATATTATGAAGTCATTGATAGGTATTTAGAAGTATACATGGCACTTTTTTATGGATAGCAACTTCTTTTATTTTTATAGAATAAAAGAAGTTGCTATCCATACAAAATTGTCAAGTATTTCTACATCATGTTATTATAATATTAATACACGTCTTTAGAATCTGCACCATTGACTTACCTTATTGAGTTCAGAGGAGAGAGCTGGCACACTGTACAGATGAAGGTTACCATCATCCATCACTGCGGCAACATACCGACCATTGGCGCTGATGGAGGCATTACACACACGGTTCTCCATTGTGCCAATGTCAAACAGTAGCTTACACGTGTCTATGTTGATGAATCTCATTATTCCATCTTGACACAGCACTCCCAGGACCTGATACACAAATGGATATACCAGGGTTTGAAATTAGGCTTGAAAGTCCAAGGGTCCTTGTCGTAACCTTTATGTTGTAAGTTAAAGATTGAAATTCTATAGCAGTAAATCTCACGGACCCTCCATAATTTTGACCACTTTAACACCAATACATTTCCGGGGGCACAGGTGGCTGAGTCGTCTAAGACAATCGATTCGCTGTGCAGAGTTGCGTCCCTTGGGCATGCCAGAAACCTAAGATTGTGGGTTCAAATCCCGTTTCGCCCTGATTATGTTTCTAGGTTTGTCAGCACCATACCCATGCTTGTGGGTTTCACTGAAGTGGTAAACGTCTGAGACATGCATCACTTCGGGCTTTCCTCCCACATTAAGCTGACACGCCGCTATATAACTGGAATACCGTTAAAAGCGGCGTTAAACCCAACTAACCAATACATTTCCAGTCATATCATGATCACAGTGTGTCAGATCACGGAGGCGGTCGACCATAATCTGATGTCAGGAAAGGAGTCAACATCCATAATGCTGTTATTTTCATTATTTCTATTATTAATATTAGTGATGTACTGCATACCTGATCCACTCCACCTTGAAAGTTGTCTGGGACAAACTCCATGTACTTGACGGACGTCACCTTGGTGGGCAGCTCCACTATACGCAGGAGCCGTCTCGTGTCGAGAGACCACAGGTGAACGAAGCGTGACCGCCCCCCTGCTGCCAGGACACGTCCATCTCTGTAACACACAACCACTGATACATGTATACACAGATCTTTACCAGGGTCTAACAATGTTAGGCCTAAGGAATCACAGGAACTATTTTGGAGTCCCAGGTTGACAGCTGTAACCTGCTTGATGTCCCTTGGCTGGCACACCTGAAGCACACTTGACAGTCAAGGATATTAATGACATCCTGACACTGCACATTTTCTGAGGCCTGCTCATATTACATGGTGGCTTCCATGTTTGAAACGATTCTTTATGATTACCGTATTCGATGTAATAAGTGCCCCGCTCTAATAAGCGTCCACGGCGATATTTGCTAATATATTGGCTAGTGAACAATCCCAATTAGCACCCCTTCCGATTGATCAATGTACACAAGACTTATTTATTTGTGTATACAACATGTGTTATATGCATCCTTAATTATGGGAAATTAATTTCTGGAAAAATATATCTGTCGTATATATACATTTCAGGCTGCCTGTATAAACCATGAAATTTACGATCTTTCAACTCTGTTGTTTTTCACCAAAATAATATTCAAATAAGAGCCCCCTATTTCTAATTTTGAGAGCGCCCTGGGCGCTTATTACGTTGAAAACGGTAAATGAAAAATACAGAAATAGGCAGGCTGAACCTTGATTGTATTTCTTATCAGAACAGAAGTGTCAGTTTAAATTATCATGAATACAACAATTGAATGAGTATAAATGATTTAAAAGCGCCATACATGGGACTTAAAGTGCATATTATCTGCCTCAATTTTTATTCTTTAAGTGCATAATGTATACTTTGCACTTGGATAAAATCTGAATAAGGGGAGGCTACTGTTGTACCTGGTGGCGGCAAATGCTCGGTACTGTGGACTGTTGCCAGGAGGCACCGGCAGCTGGAACTTGCAATCTAGAGTCTCGGACTCCCATGCAAATATTGAGTCGTCACGGAAACAAGTTATGATTGTGTTGCTCAGTGGCAGGAAGAACACCTGGAAGGGAAAAGTTCAAACAAAATTAATCAGAATCATTTATAAGTGTCAATGTATTGAAAAATTGAGAAGCTCAAATTCAGTGATCACGTGTAAACATTATCATGTACATGTTGTACACTTTACACTTTGACAACCATGGGGCTCATAATGATTCATATTTTCGAAATTGAAAATTTTACAATAAATTGTAGGTTTATATACTCATCCTATCACACACTATGCATTTATCCACATACCATAGTCAGGGTACGAACCTCAACCATGAAACGTACACAAGGAAGCTGGTCCAAAACTATGATCCAATCCAAAGATTGTTACAATGTTTAGTGTCGTAATAGACAGACTCTCGTATTGGTTGCTTACTAAAAAAACCTTGATACAACAAGATATCGGGTAACTCCTGTAGTTTTCTAACAGGATGCTGATCTACTCAACGACTGCATAGCTTTGAACTAGGGGAAGCCTATTCCATTTAACCTACCCTGTTTATGAGAGGGGATAACCCCTTCTCCATCCATTAGGTTCAACAAGACAGTATCACACAATGGATGCAAAGTGGGCCAGCTTGGCATCTCTTTTGATGCTTTGTCAAAGCCATAAATCACAACCACAGAGATTGAGTGCGCTTAGGCAGGGAAGAGGGAACATCTGCCATACCCTTACGGGTCTTTGACACGACTACTGAGGCGCACTCTTCAAGGGTTGTAGTCACAGCTTGGACAAGAGTCTGAAAGTCATTGGAAGACAACCCTGAAGATTAGGTGCGATGGTCCCAAGATGTAGGTAGGATAGGTTGATCCTGTTGATTGCACTGTTCCTGGGAAGGAGTACCGGTATGCCTATCCTCAGAAGAATGTCGACCTCTAGGCGAGAGGTATTGATGTCGTACGTGCAATCCAACAGAAAGTGTCGATCCCTTGATCCATAGTGAGGGGTGTTCACCAGTAGAACCATATTGATAGGGAAAACATTGGTAATATTTCTAGGTTAGGGGTATCGAGATTGATCAGTAGAGCTAATTCGATCTGTAAAGCCATGTTGATCAATGGAGTCATGTCGAGAGTCCGAATCATTTCAATGACTCTATTGTTCAATTTAAGTCGATCTGTTTATCCACGTTGATTGTTTGAATTATGTCGATCAGGCGACTGTTTGAATACTGTCGATCAGGTGAACTTTATCGAGTACATGAATCCTGATGATTGTTTGATCCAAGTCAATCGTCTGATCTATTTGGATTGTTCGATTCAGGACGACTGTCCGAATCACGTCGATCAGGTGATCCAAAGCAATCATGCAAATCATGTCGATTGTTAGATCTTGAGAATTGTTTGATCCATGACAATTGTTCGATCCATGACAACTGTTCGATCCATGACATTTGTTCGATCCATGACAATTGCTCGATCCATGACATTTTTTCAATCCATGTCAATCGTTCGATCTATGTCCATTGTTCCATCTCTGTGGCGAGAGTCCCACATGCTCACTCCTGCGTCTGTCGTCTGATGACTGTAGAGGAGGGCATGGTTGCATGGATTACCAGAATTATCTACGGGGGAGGAAAGCTGACTTTCTACAGAAGCTCTCAGGGTATTCATCGCTTGTAATTCGGCATCACTAATAGTGGATATGAGATTGTACCATATGACGCTGAAGGCGGGACAACTGTAGCTACCGACCCCTCCTTCTCATGAGCACAGGGCACGGTCGCGAGAACCATGAGAAAGGAGTCAGAAACTGCATCCTCCTCGACCGAGAGCATGGTAATGGTAGATAAATTGGAAGTGATAGACGATGAAGCAGGTATGGTAATTGTCCATAATATTTTCTGTTTAGGTTTCTCATAGCTGAAGAAGGAGCATGGTCTAAATCCTTCAGCACATATTTGGACTGGTGATTGTAAGTAGACTTTTGACACTTACGAAGGTAAAGTTTTAATTCCTTGTCTGCACTTGTCACAACCGTCTTCATAGGAGCATAGACCACAATAATCACAGCAAAGGGATCAACGGTCATATGCAGAGAAAGTATGCTTGCATTTCTCACGAGAAGAGCATTGTGGATCCATAACATTTCTTTCTGTATTTGCGGTTGTTTATTGAGAAAGACAATCAGAATAAAACAATATATATGTATAAATACATCCACACACCAGGGCGAGATGAAAGAGATAAGTATGTTGGGGACGTCATGTGATTAGGTCGTATAGGAATTAGGTGGTGTGCAGCCCATTGTGTGTGGTGGTGGGCATGGTGACGACTGGGATGTGTTGGGTGAGGTGTTTTTGTTTAAAGCTGGAAACTTGTTTTGAATTGTTTCTACACCAGAATTGAAGAAGTAACAATGGTATAGTGTGAAATAGGATAAATTGAAAATGTAGTTAAATATATTCATGATATTAGTTTTAGACTAAGTCCATTGTAGCACTCAGATTCAGGGCATAGTTCTCAGATCTGTTGTATTTATGGTTGATCTCACGACTGCATGGCTTCCGAAATAATGAATAAAGATGATGTTTGACATGTGTATACATGTACATAACACTATTCACAAGAGTTAAAGCAAAATTACTTAATCCTTTACAAACAATGTCAAAAGAAGTCCTAGTTGGATAGTGTTTTAAGGTATAATTCTTATAATAACTATTTAATTATTGAATCTGTGTGTTCATTGATTCTGCATAGCGCCATACACCTACCTGATTATCTTTTAGCTGCTATATGTTTAAGAAACCTAGACTACAAGTTTTGATAGTTTTGATGCTTGTCGCTTTTTTGGGCTGCATCTTATAACCCCCTTCCCATGACTGACCTGCAGCACACCAACATCTTCCTTGATGTTGAGCTTCCTCTTCCTCTGGAAGGTGTCCAGATCCCAGAGATGAGCAACGTCCGCCGATGTGGTCAAGGCATAGCGGCCAGAGGCATGGACAGAAATACTGTGTATGGCCGACTCATGGCCCTTCATCCAGGCTACCAGATCTTTGGTATCTGTGTGTGGAAAAAAAGGAATCACTTATTATAAATCGTTAGAATATGAAATTAAATGTATCCCAGTTGGAAGTCTGCTCAGGTGTTGATGATTAACCCACCGGAATTCCAGGTCAGGATATAACCCTGGTACTACATGCTGGACTAAAATGAGTGTTGGCTGGTCACACTGATTGTGTATCATCGACCCTGACATTTAGTTGCTCATGCCATCAACCACTGATTTGCTTGACCAAGATTTAATTTTCTACCTTTGCTGTATTAAACACTGACTCCTGGGTCGCTCATTCTGTGATTCACAGCCATTCCTCTATGATTTAGTTATTACAGAAATATGAAAACACTGCAAGGAATCAGTGTATGTTGTTTTTGTGCCCTGACCTGACAGACCAAGGCTCATAATCAGAGCAAATCTTGGATGACCTACAACCAGTACGACTACATCACATCTCTGCAAAGGAAATTAATGGCCCTGTATGAGGTATGACTGCAAGGGCATTTTCACTATGGACTGTATTGCAATAGTATCAAATCAACTTGATAACATATTTTAATGTAATAGAAATGGAAAATGTACTGCTGATAATGTAAAAGTTGGCCATTTACCTCCCTGTCACTTCTCAAACCAAAGGGAAGTAACTTTAATTTGAAGTTGTCGTAATCCTTGCTTATGAAATCATGGCAGGTTTGAAATTTGACTGTAAGCATTTCTGAAGCATAATTTATGTTTCATTTATACAAAATGAGACTATTCAAACTATTGATTGTTATGCATTCTGTTAACAACATCATTAGCATCTTTAAATTCCTATCGATATCAAACAATCAATTGCAATACATCGATAGTTCAATATATATTGTTACACTCCTCACGCCAAAGACCACTTTTCCACCTGCCTCCTAACTTGGACTACAAGAAGATATAGATTCAGTATACAATTACATGCCTGCCATAGAAGATAATACATGACTGGTAAGCTGTTCACAGCCTATGACTTCTCATGTACATAGTAGTGTACAGTACACCATGTACACACCTGTATCAAAGCACTTCAAGGAGTAATCAGACAGGCCAACAAGGAACTCTGTTCTTCTTCGGAGAGAAAATGCAAGAGCTGTGCATGGGTGACCTGTTTTTTGTACCAAGGAAAACCTGAAACAAGTGAAATGGTTTCATCTGAATAAAAATAGTTGATCAATGTCGAAGCATGACCATTTCATGACAAACTAGATACTTGTATAAACACAGAGCAAGCACAGCAAAGTGATCAAGTATTTCTCGTTTACTCATGAGCATAATCATGATAATCATTAACAGGTCTTATCAAAATGTTTTTGAGTTCACCTGCCTCAACTTGTGAATTTGTGTACAGCTTCACACATTCATATTCTAAACCTGATATAAAATTATTTAGTTTTTTCTTGAAGACACAATATTTAACTAAAGCATAGCTCACAAAGAAATAATTTCAACGAGGTTGTGTATTTTCTTTGTCCATCTTCCTGAGGCAAGGCAGTTAACTGACTATAAAAGTCCGGTTTCAACCCTTGTCGAACTAGGCTGGAATTTCATAGCTTGATTGTACCGCCACATATGGCTATTACGAGCTATGTCCCTTCTATTGACCAATCAGATTGAACCTCTCATATCACTTGCATTTGTTTCAAACAAAATAGCGGCATCCAGTCAAGACGATCTGATAGATAATCAAGATATATATATTTTTAAAAATGGTCTTACCTCACAAAGTGCATCAAATCACTTGAGCATCTTGATTAAAAAGATGAAAAGATTTGGAAATATCTGTCAACGACCAATTGACTCTCCACATGCTCTGCAAATCATGCAGTCGACCAAACATTTTATGGCAGTCACAATGTTGTTTCAACTTGTTTGCGATTTTGATTGTACATGTACTATGGATAGGCTCCTTAGTCCAGCCAAAATATAACTCTGAAATTCCAGCTTTGTTTGGAAAGGATGGAAACTGGACTTTTATAGTCAGTTGACTCCCTTGCCTCAGGAAGATGACTTTGTCAGACGAGATTACAACTAATCACATAAAGATATACTTGACAAGATTTGACATACTCTCTTTCATATCTACAAAGTTTACATAAAATTTACTGAAAAGGAATAGAGAAGAAACCTATCTCAACATACATTAAATACTAAATGTTTAATATAAAACCACTGGTGATAACATATTTTGCAATAAGCATACTGAACGAGCCTGATAATAACCAGCAGGACAAGAATAGGTATTCTTAATAAAGAATATTATGGGGAATATGTGCATTTTTAAGCCCCAGATCCTAGGGATAGAAAAGGAATTACCTGTTTCGGTTAATGTCAAACATGAAGATGTTTCCTTGGTGATCGCCTGCCAGCAAACTGTCTCCTGTTGCATCAAATGCAGCATGTAGGAAGCGAACTGTGTGTGATGGAGTTGACAGTGCCCCTGTGACACTGCTGCTCACTCTCAGCATCAACCTGAAGGGTAACCATGGTAACATCAAAAACACAAAAAATGTGATCAATACATTTGAATATTATGTTTTTCTTCATGACAGAGATTTTAGTTTATTGTCGCTTTGAGAAATATTTCATTTATCACTTTCTAAAGTGTCGTCTAAATGAAGAAGGAAAGTTTATCATGCTTGTCACATTCACGTTGTCCGCTTATGCATGCTCTGCGCCCACTTGTAAGCAAAGGTATGGTGCTGACAAACCAGGAACAGCATAATTGGAGTGTATTTGGATCCAAACCAACCATCAGCAGTACCTGGTGGATATTGGCAAATTTAAGGGACACAACTCTCCAGGATAAATTGCAGCAACCACTAGGCCACCTGGGTCCACCAGTACATACTAATTCATGTGTTATGAAATGATGTCCACAATGGAATCCGAACTGCACTTGGTGAGTAGATGAGAAATCAGTCAGGACGAAAAATGTCTCAAATTGCCCTTTTGTTGCTCTAATATCAGTACAGACACCTTTCAGAAATCTGTATTATCCCATTAAGCCTGTGATGCTCATGTGCAAAAGATGGGAAAATAATTCTAGTAAAAGTTTACAAAACCATTCTTGAAAGCTCTATTCGCTGCTGTCTCCTGCTCTTCCAAACTGGCCATGACTTGATATTTCTTACTTGTAGATCAATCATTAGCTGCCACTGACAATAACTACAAATTTGAACAATTTAGCCTTTTAGTGAGTTTCACATTCAGTTCTTTTGGTTACAGTGTACTTTGGAACTTTTATATATTTTTGTTGGAATATAAAAATGTATATAGCAACATAGTCTTTCATATTTTTGTGTTACACCAGGGTTAGGTACCCCTTTCTGATCAAACACCCCTTCATGACACTCAGGGTTGGGCGCCCATTGCCAATCAAATATTCTAGTGACCTCTTTACGATCCTTAGGGTTAGGTGTGAGTTAGGGTATGGGTTAGCAATCTCTTAACGAATGAATCCAATGTCATTTGAGCAAAATCAGTACCATTTTGTATCCAGTGTTGCTACTCTGCACACATATAAAGTAAACAGTCGGGTGCTGATGACTTGGTAAATGAGATACTTGTGATATAACCCATGGTTCCATGATTTTTTTTTGGCTAAGTAGATTAATTATCAGCGCCAATTGCATCCTCCATGCTGTGCTAATTGCAATCCGAAAAATGGTAAAATGCAATACTCCCCACTTCATTTCTCTGTTTCCAGATAACAAATTTCATTTTTTTTATGTTTTTGCAATGCATACCCATTATCACTTGATGGCGTCGGTTTTCGATGCCAAATTTTGCCTGATGTTTTCTTGCATACGTCCAGTGTCTGCATCTTGAATATTTTCTTCTAGCTTCCTGATCAACTGTGTTGTGTGCACTTCGGATGTCCAATCTGCATCATCTACCCATTGCTGTCATATATGCAAATCTTCAAAATAACATTTCATCGGGATTTACATTGACAACAAGAATGAACATGATCACTTTCTTCTTCCCACACTTTCTGGACATTTATGGTACGATATTCTTGTTATTTCCCCTCCGCGATCAATGGTCTATCAAATTTTGTGTATGTTAATTCTGCATTGCTTTATAAAACCACTTGTTTGTCAAAATCCGTGTTTGATGTGATTGAACTTGTTTTTCAATATGGCGCGTTTGTTTTGATGGTTGATTATATATTTCCTAAAACGAAATAAAGAATTTCAAAGCAAATTTTAACCAAACAATCGCCTATTCGTTTATAATCAAAATTAAAGCAATGACTTATGTTATTTAATTTGTAGTGAAAAATATGTTTCTATCCCAAACTAATTAACTTGTTCTTTTTTTTACAGAATTGATCAAAATTTATTTTGCGTCTGTAGTTTTCTCTTTTGTAAATACTTAAGTAGTATGTTCTTACAACTAATAAGAAATATTTCACACTCGTAACATTCACCACTGCCGCTTACCAGGTATAAATAAACATAATGAATATTTATTTCCATCTTTACATATTTCTATTATTCAGAAATAGTGCAATGCTTCTAAAATAATCGCCGAGAAATTAGAAATGTTGATACATTTCAGAATGTGTTGTTTGGAAATTATCACACCACATTACTTCCGTTCACGTTGAGTGAGTTGCAAGTTACTGTGTGAAGGCCACGTAGATTTAGCATTACTTGCTAGCTTCTCTCATTTACATTCACGCTAGAGAGAAACAACACCTTTTTCAGCACGCGCGACCTAATATATTGACAAAAATGGCTTCAAGTGACATTGGAGACTGGTATCGCAGCATACCGCAGATGACAAGATACTGGTTTACAGGATCAGTTGTGGTGCCCTTAGTCGGAAAGCTTGGTATATTGAGCCCTCTTTGGTTCATTCTTCAATTCGAACCCTTCATTTACAGATTCCAGGTACGTTTGTACTCAAATTCGCCGTTGAAGTTCGTAGAATTTTAAGTATTTTTTATGTATTTATTTGAAATCCTCGATTATCATGATCATGTTCTCTGTTGTCCCAATGAAAATTTCAATACACACGCGTAGTCGATTCCTAACATGTTTTCTGCCCAAATTTACACAACAGTTGATACTTAGATTATAGTAATTATGTAAGAACTGCAACTGTGCATTTGTGACCAATTCTATTTTCCAAAATATCATGGTAGAAGTATTGCTTATGTGTTGTAGATATGGAGACCTCTGACTGCTGTGCTGTACTACCCAATATCAGGCCCACGGGGGTTTCACTTTTTGATGAATCTCTATTTCTTGTATTCATATTCTACCAGACTGGAAACAGGTAAGTTGTGAACATTGTATGAACTTGCATTGTTTGAAATCGAGGTCCTTGAAGTTTGCTCCTGTAGCATTTGAATCTAGGGACCACCCCAAATCTTATCTTATTTCTTTGAAGGCTATGGCAAGAATCCTTTCTTAATTTTTGGGACACAGGTGGCCTTGTTCTCTAAGACGCCACAATTTGCTGTGCAGAGTTGTGTCCCTTGGGTATGCCAGAATCCCATGATTGTGGCTTTAAATTCCGGTTCGCCCGATTAGGTTTCTAGCTTTGTCAGCATCATACCCCTGCTTGTAGGTGATTTGGGGCTTTCTTCCCACATTAAGCTGACACACTGTGTTATAACTGGAATATTGTTCAAAGCGTTGTTTACCCAGACTCATTCACTCATGCTTAATTTGAACACTGATGACTTGTATTGTTAGAAATGAAGTATTCTGTGGCAGACATGGACTGTAGACAGGAAGCCCTTGGGTAGAGGATGTCGACCCTGACAGTATAGTTTTGACATTGATGGAGGATGGGAGGACAATTAATAAATGACCTTTAGACTAGGTAACGTCCAAGGTGCCGCGATTCGCTGTGCAGAGTTGCGTCCCTTGGGCACGCCAGAAACCTATGATTGTGGGTTCGAATCTCGGTTCGCCCCGATTATGTTTCTAGGTTTGTCAGCACCTTACCCTTGCTCGTTGGTTTCACCGAAGTGGTAAACGTCTCAGACCTGTATCACTTCGGGCTTTCCTCCCACATTAAGCTGACTTGCCGCGATATAACTGGAATATTGTTAAAAGCGGCGTTAAGCTCAACTCACTCACTCACTCACTATCTTTATTAATAATTGAGTTGTCGTTTTCGCCTGTCAAGTAGTGGCTGTTTTCGCCAAATGAGGGCCCGTTTTCGCCCGAGAAATCAGTGACGTTGTGCTGAGGTGTCGTTTTAGCTTACACCCACATTGACAGAACTGTCATGTTTCTTTGCTATTAAGGAAAAGTGCTTGAATATGTATCTTTATTTCAGCTCTATTTCTTGTACATTTCAGGGGTGTTTGATGGAAAACCAGCTGATTACCTATTCATGCTCATATTCAACTGGATTTGCCTAACTGTATCCTTTTGATGATGATGGTGATGATTCCAGTGTTGATAGTAGATGGTAATATATAAATATATATAACACAAGTGAGACAAACTAGGAAAATATGTTCCTTAACCATCTGACAGATCATTGGACTGATGTCAGGCCTCATGGTAAGTTGTACATTTTGTATTTCCCCAGCCATGAAATAGAAATTATTGTCTTTCCACTGAAAATTGTAGTATAGTCATTTTGTCACTTTGTCATTTTGAATTATTTGGTGAATGTATCTAGACCTGCTCAGAGACCAAATGTCACCCCTAGTCCACAGACCCTTGTGTCATTGCTTAAATATTTCTACATCAATTGATATCATGAGTGTTGGAAATACACAATCAGAGAGCAGCTGTCTACTTGTTTACTGTTTCCGCGGTTCAAGTGTTCTCCCCATAAGCTAAAATTATCGACCTATCAGAAAGCTGCTTATCAACACTCTCCTCATTCCCATTCTAGCTTCAAAGTGGCGAGTTGACAGCTTTCGGTTGGTATTATTTCATAGCAATAAAGAATTAGGGTATGTCATGTGTTGGAATTGAAAGAACAATCCCCCAAGACAAGGTAGATATGAAGTTTTTGTGAATGCTTTGCGATTTTACTTTAGAAAGAGGGATGCAAGGTGAGCAATGCTGTATGGAGTGTCTGACCTTGGTTAAAGATATAGGATGGTGCATTTCTGACACTCGTGATGTTAACTGGTCTAGAAATATTTAGGCAACGACGCAAGGGCCTGTGCCCTAGTCTGCAGCAAATGTTCCAAATTGGAATTCCCACATCAAGTTAAGCTATACCTAACGTGGACCGCCTCCATGGTCTAGTGGTAAAGCGGAAGGTCCAGGGTTTGATCCCCGGCTGCGTCATACCTAAAGATGTTAAAAGATGGTACTTGTTACCCTGTCTGGCGCTCGGCATAAAGGGGCTAAAACCAGGACTGATCGGCTCGGAATCAGTTTACTTTGTCTGAGTGGGGTATTTATGTTAGACTGCGCCATGGTATTTCAGTGAACTAGCACTATAAATTGGCATCAGTCCGGACTAGTACAAGCAGCCTCACGTGCATGCACGTCGCTATATAAGTGCAATAATCTTGGACGCGGCGTTAAAACAAATTTCACCTCACCTTTAACTAATGTTATGTTTTGGTTTACATGCTAAAAGGACCAAATAAGAGGAGGGTGCATAATTGCATTGATTTGATTACAATACATTTGAACTTAAGAAAATAAAAATTCCTAATTTTGAACCAAAAAATCAATTTCCTTCCAAAGGGACCTTAGTCCATTGTTGTCTGGAATCCTAGATACGTCCATGATAAGTATGCCGGTTGTGTTTTCCAGCTGCTAATGGATCCCATGGTGCTCAGCGTCCTGTATGTCTGGTGCCAGCTCAATAAGGATACCATCGTCACTTTCTGGTTCGGTACTCGCTTCAAGGTAAGACATGCTGAATGTTCACTTCACCAAACATATGGACCCCATGGGGATTCTGGGTTAGAATAGGTCCCAGCAACCTATGCTGGTTATTAGAGGCAACCAAATGGATTTGGTGGTCAGGTTCGGCGACTTGGTTGATTGCATGTCATTGTACCCTGACAGCATGGATCGATCCTTGTTTACTGGATTGTCTGGTTCAGACTCAATTGTTTACTGGCCTATGTCATGCAGCTGGAATATTGTGAAGCGCAATGTTAAATGCAAACAAAACAACCAAATCTTTGGATTACTTTCACATAATTTCATAGTTTTTGATATAATCTATAATGGATGTGATTCACATGAAGCATGACTGTTTCATAGGACTGTTAATGACATGTTTCATCAAGTAAGGAAAGATAGGATGACAAAACAATTTTTTTGTCTGTTGGGGGGGCACGGGTGGCCCAGTTGTCTAAGGCGCTGCGATTCGCTGTGCAGAGTTGCGTCCCCTGGACATGCCAGAAACATATGATTGTGGGTTCAAATCCCGGTTCGCCAAGATTATGTTTCTAGGTTTGTCAGCACCATACCCGTGCTCGTGGGTTTCACCAAAGTGGTCTGAGACCTGCATCACTTCGGGCTTTCCTCCCACATTAAGCTGACACGCCGTGCTATAACTGGAATAATGTTAGGAGCGGCGTTAAACCCAACTCACTCACTCACTCTTGTCTGTTGGTACTTTTGGACAATAAAATGATGTGATGTTTATTGTGATGTGGTCAGGGATGAAGTTCTTAATTCATTCTGCCCAAACACATTTGGATATTGAGAATGTTTTTGGTAACTTTGCTTGTTTGTGCAATGTTGTGTCTTGCCTCGTATTATACGTGATGTTTCTTTGTCGACAGGCGATGTACCTGCCATGGGTCCTCCTGGCCTTCAACATGATCATTGCTGACGGGTAGGTTGGAGGCTCAGAACTGTCTCTTACCAAATAATACTAAGCCGCCCCCACCCCTGCAATCTCATTAAAATCAGATCTTAGTTCTCACTTCCACTAAACAAAGTTCTGAGGACATCCGATTACGGGTCATGTCAGAACGACCTTTCAACCAACCAATCAGAGCATCACTTACCAGATCAGGAATGTGACAGGAGGAATGTTTTTTCTTATCGAAAAGGTTAACACACGGTTTTCAACAGCAACAGGCTGTATAACTGAAATGTCAAAATCGTCTATCTCTCGATTCAGTGGGATAAACATTTGAACTGAAGAGGCCCCTCATAGTCCATGGAAAGTACTGCCATACAATCTCGACAATCTATTTGACATTCCAGAATGTTCTTTTGTTCACGTTTTGCACTTTGAATCATGAACTTTCTCAAGATATATTTCGAAGCATACACTGTTCATAGTTTGAAAGTAGTCCCTACACCTCGAGAAAGCTGCTCTGATTTGCAAATGCCGACTTCTTGTTAGTCATTTCATTGGTCAAAGTTTGTATGAGGTCATTCTGATGTGACCTGTAATGAGATGTCCTCAGATCTTTGTATGGCAGTAGTGAGAACTAAGATCTGATTTGAATGGGATTCCTTAAAAATGTTTTTTCCAGTGTCCTGACCAACCTTAACAGGGGCACCTTTTACTATACCCTAAGCCCTTTTCCTGGAGTTGCGACATAGTTTTCGGGCGACTAACAACGAGAGAAAGAGTTGAGGGGGACACAATTGTCCAAGCTGCTGCAGTTATGTGTGCAGGGTTGTGTCCCTTTGGTATGCAAGAATCCTGTGGCCTTGAGTGAAATTGCATGAGTATGATTCTTGGCTTGTCAGCACCATACACAAGCTCCGGGACATCAACGTAATTGTCATCAGGCTTTCCTCCCACATTAAGGGCCTAGTGGTTAAAGTGTTCACTCGTCAAGGTGAAGACCGGGGTTCAATTCCCCAAATGGGCACAAGCCCATTTCTGGTGTCCCCTGCCGTGATTTTGCTGGAATATTGCCAAAAGCGGTGTAAAACCAAACTCGCTCACTCACTCACTCACTCCCTGACCTGTGTTGACTCACAGATTTATTGGAGCATCTCGGTGACTGGTATTTGGCCATGGTCTACAGCGGATGTCAGTATGACTTCCCAAAGAGGAATTACTAGTTTCTGAATTCAGGTTACCTGGTATTCTAATTGTTGCAAATATGTTAGCATTTCGAAGGTGCCATGCATTTAATTTATTACCAGGCGATTAACAGTAATTAAAGAGAAAATAGCGTTAATACATTATTGTTAAAATATCTCTAAATAAAGCACAATAAGGACTTGAGCAAAATCCAATTTTTCGTCAAACTATTGTTTTCTTTCCAATTTGCCTGTCACGGGCACTTAATCTTCAAAGCTCAATAAATCCCTCACATCAGAAATATTTATGCTTTGTCATTGTTATACCATAGCAATGGAAGTTGATATCATTCTGTTAATGGTACATTTACACAACTTACCCTTCCTTTGCAGAGGCATGTTGGAGCTGATCGGCATCATCGTGGGGCATCTCTACTTCTTCCTCATGTTCAAGTACCCTCAGGACTTCGGTGGAGCCAGGCTCTTGAATGTGCCACAGTTTCTGTGAGTAGTTGTCCTGTAAATAAATCTGTTTTGTTAAGCAGTCATACATGGACATGTGAATAGCCTGTCATTCATGCAAGAGTGAATAGTTTAGTCAAACATGGAAGTGTGAATAGATAGTCATACATGGATCTGTGAATAGTGTCATATATGGAAGAGTGAATAGTGTCGTATATGGAAGAGTGAATAGTTAGTCATACATGGAAGAGTGAATAGTTAGTCATACATGGAAGAGTGAATAGTTAGTCATACATGGAAGAGTGAATAGTTAGTCATACATAGAAGAGTGAATAGTTAGTCATACATGGAAGTGTAAATAGTCTTGAATTTGTCTAAAGCAGAGGGGACTATGCTTGTCATAAGAAGCCACAAAGAGGAATAGGTAGGGGGTCAGACACGCTGACTTGGTTGATGCCTGTTATTGTATCACAACTGCCCAGTAGATTGATGCTCATGGTGTCAGTCACAGGATTGTCTGGTGCAGACGCGACTATTTACAAACCGCCATCATATAGCTGGAATATTGCTGAGTGCGGCATCAGACAACAAACACAGGATAAATGGAAGTGAATAGTGATCTATGGAAGTGTGAATAGTGATACATGGAAGTGTGAATAGTGATCCATGGAAGTGTGAATGGTGATCCATGGAAGTGTGAATGGTGATGCATGGAAGTGTGAATAGTGATCTATGGAAGTGTGAATAGTGATACATGGAAGTGTGAATGGTGATGCATGGAAGTGTGAATGGTGATGCATGGAAGTGTGAATAGTGATACATGGAAGTGTGAATAGTGATACATGGAAGTGTGAATGGTGATGCATGGAAGTGTGAATAGTGATACATGGAAGTGTGAATGGTGATGCATGGAAGTGTGAATAGTGATACATGGAAGTGTGAATGGTGATCCATGGAAGTGTGAATGGTGATGCATGGAAGTGTGAATAGTGATCCATGGAAGTGTGAATAGTGATGCATGGAAGTGTGAATAGTGATGCATGGAAGTGTGAATAATGATACATGGAAGTGTGAATAATGATACATGGAAGTGTGAATGGTGATGCATGGAAGTGTGAATAGTGATGCATGGAAGTGTGAATAATGATACATGGAAGTTAGGGCTGAAACGATATCCCGGGACACCGATGCATCGCGATTCACTCCATACGATACGGTGTGCGATTTGTGAGGTGCTGTATCTCGATTTTTCACGATACGTTTTTTCAAAGAAATATGTATTTACGTACGTCTTTTTTTTGTAAATAAACTTTCATCACAGATACGTTTCAAATGTGTTTTAACTTTTTTTCAACACTGTAGGCCGGTAGACCGGCCAAGAAGCATCGAGTCCCCAGGCACCGTAGGCCGGTTAACCGGCCAAGCCTTAGTCACGCCAAAATAGTATATATATTTATGGACCTACCTGTCATACCATTCATTTATTAAATCTATCACATCTCACAATGTCTGAAATACGTATTTTATTTCCATTTATCATTTTTTATCGATAGCTTAAAAAGTTATTCACTATTTCCCGCTTATGTTATTGAAGATATAATTCTCGGACACACACTTCGACAACGGGTGCACATCGAACATGTCAAAGAGCATAACAAAGACGTTTCAAGCAAATCTTTAACTAAATAATTATACAAAGTGGTAAATAAAATCAACAAAAATATATCTAAAAGTGGTCAAACTTACAGCTAAGTTATTATTTCCATCTTTTCGTGCGATCGCGTGTAATGTTAGTCAAATGACATCTCGGCTTTCCTCGCCTCGAATTCCCGGCTCGGACACGATGTTCAATGCCAAAATATATGCATGAAAACTCTTTGTCACAGCTTGTAACCTAGCATGATACATCCACGAAGCTCCATATTTTTAATACAGATCGCGATTTCCTGCTTAAAACGTTCAGAATAACACAACTTCTTCATGTTACTAAGCGGACTGCCGCTGTTATTTGGAAATGAGTGAAAACAGATACTATTCATAATTCTTTTTAAAATAACTTTCCAATTACGTAAACAATGAAATTCTTTAGATTTTTTGAAACTTATATTTGCCCAAAATCGTCAAATTGTTGCTTCCCTGGTCCTTAATCTGGACGTTATGAATGTGTTAACTTACATATTTTTATATTTTACAACAAACTTAATTAAGTTGTCAATGCATTATTTAAATAATGTGATAAACATAACTTTCATATTTATAAACACTAGGATAAGACCTTTCAAATGGTATATAACATGGCTGTTGCTATATATCTAATTATTTTTAATTGTTTTTTTGCCTTTATACATGAAAATGGCAAATCATTAGTTACTGGACACTGGTACATTTAGTATTTACTCCTACCATCTAGTCACAACTCACAAATATGTAGGACTGTAACTTTTGTGTTTGCTAGCCATTACATGGAAATGGCAGATGATTCATTAAGTTAAAATACTCATTACAGTATATATTTTATGACTTATGAACATTCGGTCACTCTCATTTAATTTTTCATTTTTAATAAACTAAGTTTAATTCATTCATCTCTTGTCTTCTCTTGTCACTATGTGTATCAAGATACGTATCGAATCGTGATGTAAGTATCGAGGTACGTATCGTATCGTGACCTAGGTGTATCGTTGCAGCCCTAATGGAAGTGTGAATAGTGATACATGGAAGTGCGAATGGTGATCCATGGAAGTGTGAATGGTGATGCATGGAAGTGTGAATGGTGATGCATGGAAGTGTGAATGGTGATGCATGGAAGTGTGAATAGTGATGCATGGAAGTGCGAATGGTGATGCATGGAAGTGTGAATGGTGATGCATGGAAGTGTGAATGGTGATGCATGGAAGTGTGAATAGTGATGCATGGAAGTGTGAATACTGATGCATGGAAGTGTGAATGGTGATGCATGGAAGTGTGAATGGTGATGCATGGAAGTGTGAATAGTGATGCATGGAAGTGTGAATAGTGATGCATGGAAGTGTGAATGGTGATGCATGGAAGTGTGAATGGTGATGCATGGAAGTGTGAATAGTGATCCATGGAAGTGTGAATAGTGATGCATGGAAGTGTGAATGGTGATGCATGGAAGTGCGAATGGTGATGCATGGAAGTGCAAATGGTGATGCATGGAAGTGTGAATGGTGATGCATGGAAGTGTGAATGGTGATGCATGGAAGTGTGAATGGTGATGCATGGAAGTGCGAATAGTGATGCATGGAAGTGTGAATGGTGATGCATGGAAGTGTGAATGGTGATGCATGGAAGTGTGAATGGTGATGCATGGAAGTGCGAATGGTGATGCATGGAAGTGCGAATAGTGATGCATGGAAGTGCGAATGGTGATGCATGGAAGTGTGAATGGTGATGCATGGAAGTGTGAATGGTGATGCATGGAAGTGTGAATAGTGATGCATGGAAGTGCGAATGGTGATGCATGGAAGTGCGAATGGTGATGCATGGAAGTGCGAATGGTGATCCATGGAAGTGTGAATAGTGATACATGGAAGTGTGAATAGTGATGCATGGAAGTGTGAATGGTGATGCATGGAAGTGTGAATGGTGATACATGGAAGTGTGAATAGTGATGCATGGAAGTGTGAATGGTGATGCATGGAAGTGTGAATAGTGATGCATGGAAGTGTGAATAGTGATGCATGGAAGTGTGAATGGTGATGCATGGAAGTGTGAATGGTGATGCATGGAAGTGTGAATGGTGATACATGGAAGTGTGAATAGTGATGCATGGAAGTGTGAATAGTGATCCATGGAAGTGTGAATAGTGATGCATGGAAGTGTGAATAGTGATGCATGGAAGTGTGAATAGTGATGCATGGAAGTGTGAATAGTGATGCATGGATGCAGTGGTTCATTAATATACTAATCATACTTTACGTAATGTTATAGAAATCCTTAAATTACGAATGGGAGAAATATTGTATGTGTCACATGTAATTATTTTACATTATTCATATAATTATTTATATGCATATCATATATCATTTATGTTGTATACAAGCATATCATATATATATTATATAACCTTGTTCTTTCAGATACAACTACTTCCCAAACAGGAGAGGAGGCGTTGCAGGTTTTGGAATGGCGCCATCAAGCAGACGGCGACAGGATGACGGGGGTGATAATCGCAGGGGCCATAACTGGGGAAGAGGTCAAAACTTGGGTGATAACTGAAAGAAAATGCATGAGAACTTATTCAAATTGATTTCCCAACCCAATCAAGCTGTGAAAATGTCCAATATTGTTACAAGTGAATTGATACAAATATTTCTCATAGTTCCAAAACAATAGTTATGACACAGACTAAAGTGACAGTTATTCTCATCTTTATAGAGATGAGCAAGGCACTTTTTAGTTTTGAACCTGTAGTTCTGGATAGAAATCATGGGAACTTGTATTAAATGTACATGTAATAAGGCCATGCTTCATTTCCTTGGACAGATTCTTTAAATACCAAATTGGAATGAACAAGAAATCTTTATTGTCATCTGTGTTTCACAATTTCCAGCTTGTTTTGGCTTGTAGTATTGTTTAAGGATTGTGGGTTCAAAGCCTGGTTTGCCATGCTCATGTTTCTAGGTTTGTCAGCACCATACCTGTGCTCATGGGTTTCACCAAAATGCTAAACGTGTGAGACATGCATCAGTTCAGGCTTTTCCTCCACATTAAGCCGACACACTGTGATATAACTGGAATACTGTCCAAGCCCACTCACTCACTATTATGATTTTGGATATAATAATATCCCAGAAGTGGAGTGAGATTTGAAGTCTAGAGGATAGTTTATTTGTCATACTGCTGAGTCTACCGACACATGTAACAAAGATGATATAAAGTAGATTGTTTTCAGAAAGGACATAATCATTTGATCTTCATTGAGATAAGGGGCACGGGTGGTCCAGTCGTCTAAGGCCCCACAATTTGCTGTGCAGAGTTTCGTCCCTTGGTCTTATCAGAAACCTATGATTGTGGCTTCGAATCCTGGTTCGCCCTGATTATGTTTCTTGGTTTATCAGCACCATACCCGTGCTCCTGGGTTTCACCAAAGTGGTAAACGCCTGAGACATGCATCACTTGGGGTTTTCCTACCACATTAAGCTGAACGCCTAAATAAAAGCAGTGTTAAACCCAATTCACTCATGCATATGAATGAGACAGGAACCTAGTTTCATAGCATTAGGACATTACATATTCAGTCTTTCCTTCCACATTAAGCTGACATGCCGTGATATAACTAAAATACTGTTCAAAGCGTGGTTTTACCCAACTCATTGACTCACTCGCTAACTGAAGGAGACACTTCACCTTCTGACTTGTTTTGAGAGATGACTTAAAAAATATTTTTATATTTCATCCTAGCACCATTTGATTCTTGAAACAAATCTGTCAACCTTGAAGTAAACCAATTCCTTACAGCAAATGCTGCCAACAGTGATCTTGTTGATCTAACACTGGTTTGACAACAGCTGAGTACAAGTCTCTATAAGACTCTTGTTCCTAGCCACATTGAGACCCAGTATCACTTATCTGGGTTGCTATACATTGATGCAAATAGGTTCATTCATAGATGGTTATGGTTCTAATAAAGACCTCTACTATCTTTGCTCAGCCCCTTCCAAATAATGTTTGTAATAATCTGAGATTTATTTATAACTGATCATCTTAAGATTTGTTAAATTATGAAAGTGTAATGTAAATGTTTGATTTCTGTGTTTGTTTTTGTTGTCATAGCAACCTGTTGACATTGGAAATAATGTTTATTTAGTCAGTAAGACTTCATGTTGATTCTTCATTGGACTATACAAATGATGCTTACAAAGTTGAATGTTATCATAAACAACAGACCTCCCCTGATCTTGCAGCTGGGAAATCTTTGGACTTCTCCGACCCCTGAAGATCCGGGTTAGAATTGGTCTTATGCAACCCATGTCTGTTGTAAGAGGCGACTATGCTTGTCATAAGAAGCAGGCTGGTGGTCAGGCTTGCTGACTTTGTTGATGCATGTCATCGTATCACAATTGTGTAGATTGATGCTTGTGATGTCAATCACTGGATTTTCTGGTCCAGACTGAATTATTTACAGACTGCCGTCATAAAGTTGGAATATTGCTGATAATAATATTGTACTTCTCCAAGTCACCTGCTGTGGCTGCTGTTTGTATTGTTTTAATAAAGTGGCCATGAGAAAAATTGACCCATTTATGTTTGCCAAGTATACTGGTACATGCTTATTGACAGAATGCATTGTCAGATGAAAAATGTTTGGAGAACTCAAGGGTGAATGGTTTAGAAACTTTGTTTTTTTTATAAATTCCACAATATTCCTTAATGTGCAATTTGAGCAAGCTTGTGACGACGACTGGTGCAAAATGTCCAACAGACTCTCTTGAAACTGGTACTGCAGAAGCATTTGCAGCTGCAACAAGTTATGTCGGATAGTAGAACAAAGTACATTTTCTCAGCTGCTGATCATCCTGATCTTAAGTGAGGTTCAGGATTATCTCCAGAATTCCTTTGTCCCCAAGACTGAGAGACATGAGATCAGCGCTGAGACTGCTGGAGTGGGAACTGATGCTGATCTCAAGTGATGCAGGAAAGCGTATTTGTTGTCTGTTAACAAATGCATGGCATGGACTCTTCCAAATTGTACTGTTACTGCCTCACTTTGGTGAAACAAAATTAAAAAATTGGCAAAATAAGCAAGCATCCTTTTTATTTGTTGGGGGTGGGAATTTCGAAAATGATCACCCCAGACCTTTGAACAAATCCCTAATCCTTTATAGAGCAGGATGAAAAGAAAATTCTGACATACCTACAAACTCATATTACTTTGCCTGACACACACATTTTTTATGTGAAAGCCTGATGGCGCTTGATCGGTTTATTCCAACATAGTGCTTGAAGTGGTATGCAAAAACACTGGACCATACTCGAGTCCACCAGCTTAGAGTTGGTTCTTTACTCAGAGTCATGTAGCCAATTGTACCTTATTTGTAAGAATTGCTGGAAGTGTGTGCAATGATTGTTGTTTGTATTTGTTGATGTTTGGGTTGGAATTTTGAACTTTGTGTGTTAAATGTAAATCATTGAACTGATTCATGAACTGAACATGGGAATTCTGGGTCTTAGGAATCAGGATCAGAAGAGGACCCCAGTTCCCCATTCTTGTCCTAGCATCCCAGTCCATGAAGATCCAGGTAGAGAATAGGTCTTCAGCAACCCATGCTTGCTGTAAGAGGCGACTGCTTGTCGTAAGAAGCAACCACCGGATTGGTTGTTCAGGCTAACTGACTTTGTTGATGCATGTCGTTGTATCCCAGTTGTGTAGATTGATGCTTATAATGTCAATAACTGGATTGTCTGGTCCAGACTCAATCATTGCTGCCATATAGCTGAAATATTGCTGATTGTGGCGTTGAACAACAAAAACAAACCTAGCATCCCCTAGTTATGTGCGACTTGGTTGATTGTATGTTATCAGTCCCCCATGACATGGATCTGTTCATGCTATCAACCGGGTGGACAAGTGGCCCAGTCGTCTAAGGAGCTGCAATTCAGGGTTTTCACCGAAGTGGTAAATGTCTGAGACCTGCATCACTTCGGGCTTTCCTCCCACATTAAGCTGAGATTGTTTGCCTGGCTCATATTGAACTACATAATTAGAACAGGGCTGACTCGGACAGAAAACAGCCTCTCTCTCGATGGGGTGATAATGACCTGTTGTAAATGAATGAAAGTATGGTAAGGGAGTATATGCAGATATCCGAATTAATTGTTGAATGTTAATGAAATGTTTGTCAATGCAGTTCATCTGGTGTGTGTTCCACAGAGCCGTCTTGGTGCTGTCATCAATATTATTGTATATTTCATCTTCAACTGATGTCCTGGTACAGGGACTGTTACCGGAGCATCCCTTAAACGTCCAGGGGCAGTGGGGTAGTGGAGTGGGGTAGTTGAGTGGTTAAAGTGAAGGCCTGGGTTTGATGCCCACTTTGACATAACATATGAAACCAATTCCTGATTCTGATCACCCCCACCAGTGTGAAACCACACTTAGACCACACATTTTAAATTTAATGTTTCACGGATTTATTCCAGCATTTCCACACAAGGTCGGCAAAAATTTAAAAAAAATGAATGTTAATTATATATTTATTTATTTATATGAAATTCAAACAGCAGGTTGCCTCTTGAATCTATGAAAGTGATGTCAATATTGAATTTATATATAACATTTTATATTGTACAAGAGGTTCTATATTACTTGGGGATACATAATTAAAATAAATATTTTTATGTTTAGTTTATTTCTGAGATGGGCTGCTTTTCTGTAGGGGTGGTGAACCTGTGAAACGAAAAATAAAAAAATGTGTGGCCTTATATATTCTGTCTGGAATATTACCTGTTGGTGCCAGTCTATATTTCATATTAATATACCTAGACAGTTTATTTTTCATGTTTATGGATGTACATATATTTCATCATACCTGTCATCCAAATCACTCTGTTTAAATGAGTACATTCCTTTTGAATAAACATTTCATACTAGAAAACGATCAAGCGCATTGTTAAACTTTTATTATCTTATATTCTGTTCACACAAAAATCTTTTGAGCACATCCAATCTCCTAAATTATAAAGAAAGTAAAGTAAAAGACATGACATCACTCTCAAAAACATGTTTGTTAGTGAAACACTGCCAGGTTATTTCATTTAAGAAAATATGTTTATAAATGGATTCATTCAGCTTGATTTTTATCATGGCTATTATTATTTAGCCTAGAAGAAATATTGCTGAGAATGGATGCAAGATTACTGATGTGGTGTTTATCAGTATGTGCTCTCTGTCAATACTGCGTTGTGATAGTGCCCATGTGAAAGTTGCATAACTTTTATTCATGTACATTGTACTTGTCATTGTTGGGCGTTGGTTTTTTCTCTGTTGCAGTGCATGGTGTTAGTTTTGTTGAGTGTCCAGCTAGACCTTTTTTTCTTATTTTTGTTGGTTTACGGATTTCCCCCCAAAAAAAATTCAGTTCGGAAAAAAATAAAATCTGACATGCCAAGCAAGGTAGCTGGAGTTACTACCCTAAAATTGCAAAAGCAATTCCTTCTGCAAAATAGCGAGTTTTGATGGCTTGGTTGACTCGTAACTGCGTTGCACCATTCTAGAAAAATATTTTTATTCTGTATACCAAGGTTTTTCAGGTGAGCAGGGAACAAAATATTTTTGTTAATTTTGTTATCCATTTTCTCAGTATTTTGGGTCAAAGGATCTGTAAACCTACGAAAACAAAAGGCTTAGCACCTTCATTGTTAGTTTTACATTCAAGGTCATGTGTGAGTGAGAAGTAATAGTTTTGTCACGAATGTTTCCAAGTGTATATATAGGTCATCAAGTACATGTGCATAATAAAAAACATTTAAACCCTAATGGCTTTTCTGTTAAAGCATCACAATGACCTCGTGATATTTGTGTTGCAGTTGATTCTGAGCCAGAAATCCACTAGCCTTCTGAACGTGCATTTTAACTAAGTAAAACTGACACAACTATAGGTCATTTTTCCGACTTACACCATATATATATATATGGTTAAAGTCTGAAAAATCGCTCGATTCTGTTGATCAGCACTTATCAAGAAACCAGTTGGTGAAATTAATAGCTGTGTTTTTAATCTGTAAATGCTTGTGATAGAATTGTGTGTGCAGAATTGTGTGTGTGTGTGTGTGGGGGGGGGGGGGGGGGGGGGGGGTGTGGTAATAGGTACCGCATGCTTGTCGCAAGAGCTAGCTGACTGAAATGAGGACGAGGTAAAGATCCGAGTTAGAGTATGTCTTCAGGAACCAATGCTTGCGCAAATGAAGACTATGCTTATCTTATCTCAGTTGCGTGGATCGATTCTCATGACGTCAATTACTGGACTGTCTGGTCCAGACACGCATTTGGGATACGATGACATGCATCAACCAAGTCAGCGTGCCTGACAAACCCGATCCCGTTAGTCGCCTCTTACGACAAGCATAGTCGGCCTTGTTACGACGTAAATTGTAATAAAAAGGTAAATTGTAATACTTAAAGCAAATTGTAATAATTTGGACGTAAATTGTAATAACAACGTAAATTGTAATGATATTTGACGTGAATTGTAATACGCAAATTGTAATAAAAATTGACGTTAATTGTAATAATCTCTACTTGCGGTAAAATGTAATAAATTCTTACGTAAATTGTAATAACCTTACTACCGTAGTGTCCAAGACGCCAATTGACTAGAAATGATCTTTGTTAGTTGAGCTTGCGTTTCACATGTACAATTCGAGAAATACTGTGTATGATGACAAACGTACAAAACTGTTAAGTTAGGGATGGTTGGTAAAGGCTTTATCGTACAATCGTCATTAAAGGGTGGTGTCAACATAGTGAAAGACATTTATTGGAAGTGATGTGATGTTTGTGGCATGCTATCATCTACGTAGAAGATACTACCATCTGCGTAGAAAATACTATCATCTACGTAGAAGATACTATCATCTACGTTGAAGATACTTTCATCTACGTATATGATAGTATCTTCTACGTAGATGATAGTTTGTCATCTAGATAGTATTACTATCGTCCACTTACATACTTTCATCTGCGTACATGATACTGTCATCTAGAGTATGGAGAAGTGCAGTCATATATGTGATACCAATGACATAGAGCTCACATTTACTGTCATTACATACACACCTACGTGAGCGCGCGCACACGCACACACACACACACACACACATACAGACATACATACATAGTTAATCTTCTTAGTTAGTCACTATTCTTTTCAGAAGGTATGCTATAATTTATTACAGTGCTTGATGTTAGCTGGAATTATTTTAATCCTCTTAAAACCCCCAGAGAAGATTATCCTGTGAGGTAATTTTTGTCCGTATATATGTCACAAATTAGTGATAACTTATGAAACACGTAATTATCTGTTTCGAAAATTATGTACCGCATTACACAATTCCCTGTGCAGAGTTGTTTTGATATCAAGGTTTCATGGCGCAATCCACCAACGATTGCCGAGTTTATGATCTTAGAATATTCTACGTATAAGGTCAAAGAGAATATTTACGTTAGTGACAAAACCCTTTTCATTATAGATTTTCCATCCTTTGAATTTTGATCAAAACAGATTTATTTCCGCAATAATTGATTGCAACAAATTATATTATTATATACATTCTGATGCTCTTTGAAACTCAACAAGACATGCCCGAAGATACCTGATATTATTTGTGTATGCTTTTAATTATGATTTCGTGCCGTTATCATGATGGATTCTGTTTTTGTTGTTGGGGCAAGGAGTTATTATCCCAGCAAAAGTTGTCAGTAAGTTGTTGTTAGTTCTTCATGACATATGAAAGGAATCCAGAGAGTTACATTTATTCATTTATTTCATTAAATATACTTCTTCCTATGAAAGGAAATATGTTATGTTATATTAATGATCCATATGTTCATCATACATTGCTACAAATATTGTATAAGTTAACATGGTTTGCATTTATTTATTATTATTTCTTTATCTGTGAGAAGTTCACAGAGATCGAGAATACACAATATCTAATAGTATATACAATGTAGGTAAAGAATACCCACGTCCCTGTTTTGATATTAATAAAAACATTGTATATAATGTTATGTATTAAGTATTCTCCTTTCCCATGCATGGGAAATCTATGCTGCATTTGCTGACGACTGTTTTTTTTTCATTTGACATTGCACAGGAGATTTGTCACTCATTTGTTGTATTTGAATTCTTCGTCAAAATATAATACAAAACACACAGAGTATTTCTCAAAACTAAGTTCATTCTAGTAATTAATCCTCTTCTGGACAACCATAGAAATGAAATTCCAATGCGTTTATATATACATATAGTTATACAACAATGTACGATAACGACCTCAATCCTCCCCCACACCCATACTTTAATGACGATTTACGATAAACCCTGTACCAACCCTGACAAGGATAGGTTCTAGTCATTTAACGCCTTTGACACTAAACTTATAAGGTTATTACAATTTACGTAAAAAGTTATTACATTTTACCGCAAGTAGAGATTATTACAATTTACGTCAATTTTTATTTCAATTTGCGTATTACAATTTACGTCAAATTTTATTTCAATTTACGTTGTTATTACAATTTACGTCAAAATTATTACAATTTGCTGCAAGTATTACAATTTACCTTTTTATTACAATTTACGTCGTAACACGGTTTTTACGGGAAGCATAGGTTGCTGAAGACCTATTACTGTGCTTGTCGTAAGAGGCGACTAACGGGATCGGGTAGTTAGGCTCGCTGACTTGCTTGATGCATGTCATCGATCATCCCAATTGCGTGGATCGATGCTCATGATGTCGATCACTGGATTGTCTGGTCCAGACTCGATTATTTACTGACCGACGTCATACAGCTTGAATATTGCTGAGTGCCCCGTGAAACAACAAACAATCAAGAAACAAACAAACAAACAAATCATTCTGTGGAGCGCTGCTTATTGTTCCAGACCTTGGTTTGCCTGGTACGAAATCGATTACTCTCAGGCCGCCGTGATGTTGCTGGAATACAGCTGACTATTGCACTTAGCGACATTCTTTCATTTCCTTTGCTATTATATTCTGAGGAGAAGGTTGTGTTATGTAAGAGTCCAGCCAGACTCTTCCCAAGGTGGGTTTGAAACGGCCCCACTGTGTCAGAGATGAAATGGTGTGTGTGGCTGTTTGTACTAGTCCGGACAAATGCTGATTTTATAGTGCTAACCCACTGAGACACCATGCTTCAGGTTTATACCACTAGGACACAGTATAGTGTCCTGAGGTCGACCATTCCTTATGTTATCCCCTTAATGACGAGCGCCAGGCAGGATAACAACAAGTACCATCCATTTAATATTGTTTGGTATGACACGGCCAGGGGAACGAATCTTCCAAACTTCCGCTTCCCAGGCTCACGCTCTATCCACAATATATATACAGTATACAATGGATGCGGTTCCAGAATATCAAGCTCAAATGAGAAGTAGATAAAAACTTTACTTTATTTATATTACAAATGTAAAAACGCAACCACACAATAAATAAATAGATAAATATATGGCCTCACATATTCCATACACTGGACCCGTTTTACAAGCACCACGGCAATCCATCATAGTAATCTAAGGGGTCGGCTATTGGCTATTCTGGTAGGACCTGGGATTGTGTTAAGAACATATTCTGTTCCCTCAAATGCCAGAAAAATTGTTCTCAGTTTTTAAAATCATAACGTTCGTTGGACATGATTTTTTTTCTTCCTTTCAGAGAAGACAACTGTATCGTGAAGCGGTGACTGAAAAAGTATTGTGTCTAAAACAAAAATCCTAGCTCTGCCCGGAATATTACATAGTCGGTGACATATTATAGGTAAAGCTATAGGTACATTCTTAAATGGATTTGATCTGCAACCTCAAATGACGACTGAACATCCCGATCGCTGTTGCATCGCTTGCTGTTTACCAGAATCACTGCGCATTGCAATAAACAGCTCTCGGAAGAACATATTTGATTTGAGAGTGCTGCATGCTGCGGGACAAATTCTCACCTCTTCTGTGGCATATTATGTTGACTGAATGGTTAGATTAGTTATAGGTTTGAAGAATTACGGATTCACTTATTCAGTTTGGAGACTGATGTACCTTCAATACTAGTGTATTCAGAATAAACGAAGTTTCACTGTAGTTTTGGGGCAAACTTTTTTTACATCGCAATCTCTCGTTCATCGTCAATACTTCAGGTTCATATACACTACGTTCCTCCATCACCCGGTAACACATACGGTGGATGTTTGCTGTTTAAGTCAAGTTAGGAATTTAGGGAGTATGTGAATCAAATGAGCCTACTCCATGCATGGCCTTTAAGCGAACCCTACCATTGTCTGATATTGAAGCAATGCATGGAGTAGATGGCCTCGAGGCTGAAGGATACTGTACGTGAAACATTGCCGTATGTGCTTTTTTACACTGCTATGTAAACTGAGCGATGATTGCCAGAACAATTGCTGGCTTTCCTTTCGTTCGCAGCTGGCCGTTACTTGATTCGTTGGTTCATAATAGCGACTACGCTGCAAACTGGCCGCGTGTGTTCAACATTGATGGAGGAACGTGGTGTAGATATATTCACACCCGTGAAGTATTAACGACGGCTCTCCTTTCAATACATTGATTACGTTTTACGGACATTGAAGTACTGGAACTGCAGAAAGTCCACTAATTCATTAACAGCCTTGTCACTAACGGGAAACTTCCAGAAACTACTTCCAGCGAAAAGAACAAAACCATGAAAGGCCGAGGGATAATGGCGGAATTTGACCTTGACCCCATTCTCGAGCAGACGATGTCCGTACATTATAGCCTCATCTCGCAAAACATCGTAATGACTCGAAATGAAGTACGCGTTAGGAATTCCCTTTGTGCTCCTGACCATCATGGGAGAAAAACGGACGTCAGTCACGAATTTGTCCAGTTTGACCGCCGTCCCATGTTTTGTGCCTACGTAAGGCATTGTGTGGCGCTCAGACACGTTCATATGGGCTGGGATTCGCTTCTTGCTGTTAAAGAAGTCCTGATATACGTCATGTAGGTGCTTTGAGGCATGGACGTTGTTCAACATATCGTCAATGAACCCTGGTTCCTGGTCCAGATTCGCATAGTTGAGCCAGTGAGTTATCTCCCTTCGTGGGTTGGTCACACCAGGAAGAACGTCATGCATGTCCTGATATGAAGGTGTCCCAAGGTTTAAGATTTGTAACGCAGGGCTTATCAATAGCTGCATGGCAACCTTCTGTTTCATTTCTATGGCAACGGAGGCGGCCAGGTTCCCACCCGAACCGTCTCCAGCAACAATGATGAGGTCGGACCTGTAGTTGAGTTTCCTGGCGTTGTTGACGACGTGGTTGGTAACGGCGAGGCAGTCGTCGTAGGCCGCAGGGAACGCTGCTTGAGGGGCAGTGCGATAGCTGAAAATATAATGGCATGGTTAGTTAACATATTTTTTGGGAATTGAATTACTCAGAGAAGGTGTGATTTTGCTATTTAAAAAGTAGATGTGTACATATTAGGTTATGCGCAGTCATACGCATTCCAGCTTAGGCGGGGCGTGGCGCAGCTTAGTTGTTAGAGCATTCTCTCGTTACTAAAACAGGTAACGCAAGCTGATTACGGAGTTTGTGAACATAAAACGTGAATGTGAGCAAGCTGTAAATGACACTCCTAAACTGATTTCGGAACTGATTAATATCTCCTTGATTACAGACTTGACTGCACCAGGGACTAGTTATCGTGGAATCATGTAATCCCCACCCCCACAGCAAATGTGAGGGGCTCTCCACCACTACGTTCGACCTACGCCAGGATCTTCTCATAGGGCCCAACCTAGGTTAAGAGGCGACTTACGGGATCGGGTGGTCATGTTCGCTGATTTGGTTGATGCATGTCATCGTATCTCAATTGCATAGATCGATGCTTATGATGGCAATCACTGGACTGTCTGGTCAATTATTTCCAGACCACCTCATAATGCTGGAATATTGCGAAGTGCGGCGATAAACAACAAACAAACAATATATATGTCCTTTCTAATTTCACCCTAGATGTAGATAATCTAGGTGTGACCATATCTTCAATCTGTACAGACTTATTCATTTTTTTAAAACACAAAAGAAAAAGTTATTCTGTGCTTTTATTGATTTTGAAAAAGCATTCGACAACGTCTGGAGACAGGGATAGTGAGTTGTTCCCCATAGATGTAGTTGGGCAATGCAGACAAACGCGATGGCCGAACGATCGCATCCAAAAGCGGGAGAGATATGACAATCGGTATTGGGAGAAAAGGTACAGGTAATCGACGTGAGGAATGAGGAAAATACCTACCTGTGCATAAAATGGACTTGTCCGACATTGCCGAGGTCGGATTCTTTTGAGGGAGTCATCATTATTAAAATAGGGATAATCATTTACAAAGCTTGTACATTTTATCCTTATCCTTAAAGAGGCTGTAAATAATGTTGATATCTTTAATAAGAAATAAACGACTCGTGGTCTTTGTTTATCGTATATTAAAACACTGCAGGGAGAGATTATTCCACTGTTTACTATAAATGCTGTTTTACAAAATGTGAATGAATATATGCACCTAAGAGTAACGTTCATAAAGCCCATTATATACATTTACCCAATGTAATAATAAGTGTGGTCTATGTATCGGAGATCTGTGGGTAAAAAGATCACGTGAATCAACAATACAGATATCGGACAATTAACATTAGAGCCCAACGTTCGTAATTCCCCTTGCAACAGTTAAATGAATACAGTACTGAGCGTAACTTACTCCACAGCGACGATGACGAACTGTGTCCTGCTGGCTAGAGTTCTCAGAGGCACATTGTAGGAACCTGAAACGTTAAACAACAAACACAAAAATGCCAGAAGAAAAATAGAAAGTTTGAAATTTTAGAATTTCCTACCGACTGTATATATTCGTAAAATATATTAATCGAAGAAGAAAAAAACAAACTTAAACAAAATTAAATTTATAGTCTTGTTTTATCCCCCAAAACATTGTTTTGGGATCGACATGGTGGATATATCCAGAAGAAAAGTGTTGTGAAGAAAGAGGAATGTTTGTGTCTTTTCACAGAAATAAATTGCGTGTTTTAAAGCAATGACCGAAAGATTATCCTGTCTGAAACCTATTTCCCTGGTCCCCTATCTACCCACCTGCGGAAAACCAAGTCCACCCTCCGCCGTGGAAGTACACGATGACAGGGCGGGGGGAGGTCGAGGACGCCAGCTCACCAGGGGTGAAGGTTATCACAGCAACGTTGCCGTATACAGCGTTAGACACCTGTCAGTGGAAGACCCTGTTATTTTGAATAAGTTCTATTTTCTCTGGGCAAGAGCACTGGTGATTTAAAGCGTTTTAACTAAACATAAAACACTGTGATACTGTTAGGTTTAAAACATTAAAACATTTAACAGAATGAACTAATACGTAAATCTAACATGTGTCCCCGACTATTGTCTATTCCCGCTGCAAACAGCAACTAACTGGTCCCTATTGTAATGGCTACACTTGATCGGCTTCCAGGCACCCGTCACTGAACCGGCTCAGTGACAGGGATGATACCAGGGAGGGGGGAAGGAAATTGTGGTGTAACGGTCAAAGGGAGACAACTCAATCAACAGTTTCATGTACCCTCGGTGTTTGGTCGTTATATGCTTAAATGTATATGCGGAGAGGACACGGCAGAGGTTTTATCGGCCCCGCACTGAAGATTGTAGTTTAATTCGGGTCAATTCATCTTATTCCCTCACCTACATATTGGTACGCCTCATTGGATTTAAGAAGCCTTGTCGTTGATCAAGCTCCTTCCCAGCGCGTGACACCTTCGTTACACTCTCGGTAACATAGAGAGCTCCGCGAACGGACTATCGCTGTGAGGAGCTTGGTCGTTGATGGTCAAAGGGAAGTAACTATTAACTCAATTTTACATTTTCGAAACAGACTTACCTCCCTTAAGGACAAGGGGCATAACCCTTGATTTGTTGAACGCGGTTAGCTCCCTTCGATCGAGGACACACGCCGTGTGTGAAGTATTAAGAGAGACACTGTGCGGAGTTGAGGTAAGGGAGTTAACTCAGGTACAAACACGATTACCTCCCTTTGACCATGAAATAAACCACTCCCGCCCACCATTTTTCTCGGACAGCAGCGCGTCATTTTAAATCCGGCACGTCAGTATTTATTTTATTTGTATTGCCAAAAAGCTATTTTTCAAATTTCCCTGTTTCCCTGAAAATTAGTTTAAAACTAATGTGTGTGCCCACTGGGGTTTGTTGGAATACTAGGTGGGACAAAAATAGGAAGTGTCTCGCTCCCTAATCACTTTTGTTTTCAATAACAAAAAAAAATATGAAAAAATAATGTGCCAGGGAAGTTCATTTCTAGTCTCCCCCGCCGTGATATTGCTGGAATATTGCTAAAACGGTGTAAAACTATACTTACTCATCTGAATGGGGACTTAACTGCATTTAAGGTGTACTGGTTTAGATCTATAAGTGTTTATGTTCACAATCCGTTCTTGGCATAAAAAAACTGTGACATTGGTTTCAGTATGATTATGCTAATCATATACCGATAGAGTTGGTATACGTGGTTAAAGTTGTTACAAGATAAACAAAGTGGGATTTGAATGACTATAATCTATATTACAAGGAGTGTTAAGAGGGAGATGCTTGTTCCATTAAAATAACAAAGTCCACTGATACGCACATGCACCGACCCGTGAAGACCCGGGGTAGAATAGGTCTTCAAAACACATACGTGCCGTAAAAGGCGACTATGCTTGTCGTATAAAGGCGACTAACGAGATCGGGTGGTCAGGCTCGCTGACTTGGTTGATGCATGTCACCGATCCCACTTGATCGATGCTCATGACGTCAATCACTGGATTGTCTGGTCCAGACGCCGCACTCATCAATATTCCAGCTGTATGGCGGCGGTCTGTAAATAATCGAGTCTGGACCAGACAATCCAGCGATAGACATCTTGAGCATCGATCAACGCAATCGGGATCGATGACATGCATCAACCAACACATACACCATGAATGGACAATATCACTGGCATAGTGCCAGTGGATGGTATCTATTAGGCTACTGCTTTTACATTCAAATGGCGTGCCATGATAATAGTAAGCAGACTTACCTACATATCTCCAGTTATCCAGTGTTTTATGTCTCCATTCAAACTAACATTTAGTCCCAGAAAAAAATTCTCCACAAGTATATTTTAAAATATATATCTACAAATAAGAATAAAATCCAGATGGAGCCCAGAACAATGATTACATGTAATTTCAGGTCTAGACTTGCTAAATCAGTTGGACTATTTTTTCAATTTTATTCTTTATTCTCTAGGCTTTGAGAGACAAGCTAATCTCCAATCTTTTATGAGAGAGAGACATTGTGTGCGTAGGTAGTCACTGATCAATGACATATTTAACGGTGACGTCGTCTCAAAAACAAAGCTACAGTAGCGATGTGCTCATTATTGAATGGATATATACTTCACTGGATAATCGAGGATGTGAGATATATACTACACTGGATAATCGAGGATGTGAGATACGTACTACACGGGATATTCGAGGGTGTGAGATATATACTTTACTGGAAAATCGAGGATGTGAGATATATACTACACTGGATAATCGAGGGTGAGATATACATTATACTACACTGGATAATCGAGGGTTGGAGATAGATGCTACACTGGATAATCGAGGGTGAGAGATATACATTATACTACACTGGATAATCGAGGGTGGGAGATATATACTACACTGGATAATCGAGGGTGTGAGATATACATTATACTACACTGGATAATCGAGGGTGGGAGATATATACTACACTGGAATCGAGGATGGGAGATATAAACTACACTGGATAATCGAGGATGGGAGATATATACTACACTGGATAATCGAGGATGCGAGATACAACGCGAGAGAAGAAGACGCTCTCACCTTGATATTGTCGGCTGCCTTCCTCCAGAATGTAGGATTTAGAACCAACGAGAAACCAATATCAACAAGAGACTTCACGGGTTTGGTAGCGGGGTTGAAGCCGATAGACTTGAAGCTTGTTTCCTGTCAGTATTGATGAAAGCAAATGGAATAATTGAGGAACATAAGACCAAGTGACACTATTTTTCCAATTGAAATTGATGAACACATATGAGTGGAAATTACGTCTTCTTAAATACCTGTGATCTTTCTACTGGTCAATGCGACATTGTCTTTTGCTGGTTACCAAGTCATGAAGGCATCATAGGTAACTCAGTAGCCGATGCTGCAGCTGAAGCAGCTCTTGACAAACCGTTATCTACACTCCTTATCAAGTACAGTGATTTCAAAGCAACCACGAAAGGGACGCTTGGGATCTTGCGCAAAGAAGGTGAGACACCCAAGTACTAATAAACAATAAACTACAGGAATATAAACCAACAATCGGTCATACCCACTCGAGTTGTTAGTCAAGACATGGCGAGTCAGTAAATGATTCTGGCCACAGTGGATTTACTCACGAATATTTGCTAAAAAAACAGAGTAGGGTTCATCGTTAAGCACATTTTGCTTGAGTGTGTGGACTTTGAAATTGCAAGGGATTCACATTATTAAACAGTAAATCTGAAAGAGCATTATTAAAATATTGGCTAGTATTGTGCACAGCCACCAGTAGATAAAGTGATGACGTAAATCATGCTGGTGTATCCAATGATCCCCAGCGAGGTGGCCTAGTTTGATTTGTGGTGGCTAAGACAAACAGTTGTGAATAATATTGTCATGCTAAAATATGTTTGACAAATTTGCTTTTAAATTTACACGTAACTTTGTATTTATATGACATGCTTGCCGATATAAAAACTTGATTTTGTCGTTTTATGCAGAAATAATGCCGATGCGACGTTAAATTTTAACTCACTCACTCACTCACTCTCATACACTGTTCCTGGTATACACGTACCAGTATATTTGCTATCCGGCCAAGTTCGTCGATCCATCGGAGTTGACCAGGGTTCTCTACACCGTCAGGTAGGGGTCGCTCTATTACTTGGTATATACGGTATGCCACAAGCGCCGCAAGCACTGTCAGGAGTGCGGAGCATAGTAGCCTCATTCTGTGATATAGTAAACATTTCAGTAAACAGTTGTGAAGATGCATTAGCCAACATGGGTAATAGGAAATAACTATTAATGAAAAACCAAACTATTTTACTCTTAATCCAACCTCATTAAAATCAGAACTTAGCTCTCGCTACCGTTAAAAAAAGATCTGAAGACATCCTATAACGGGTTCCAGGATATTCCATTGAATTTCCTTTGCTAAAAAAATATTTTGCATTTGAAAACAATCTACATAAAGAAATGCGCAGAATGATGTAAAATCAAACGACACATGTCTTCCTTCAGTGGATCCAATGTCATTACAATAAGATCTTATTTCTCACTACCGCTAAACATTATAAGTTGTAGCAGTATCACAAGGGGTTCACTATAAGTTGTAGCAGTATCACAAGGGGTTCACTATAAGTTGTAGCAGTATCACAAGGGGTTCACTATAAGTTGTAGCAGTATCACAAGGGGTTCACTATAAGTTGTAGCAGTATCACAAGGGGTACATTATAAGTTGTAGCAGTATCACAAGGGGTACACTATAAGTTGTAGCAGTATCACAATGGGTTCACTATAAGTTGTAGCAGTATCACAAGGGGTTCACTATAAGTTGTAGCAGTATCACAAGGGGTTCACTATAAGTTGTAGCAGTATCACAAGGGGTACACTATACGTTGTAGCAGTATCACAAGGGGTACATTATAAGTTGTAGCAGTATCACAAGGGGTTCACTATAAGTTGTAGCAGTATCACAAGGGGTTCACTATAAGTTGTAGCAGTATCACAAGGGGTACATTATAAGTTGTAGCAGTATCACAAGGGGTTCACTATAAGTTGTAGCAGTATCACTAGGGGTTCACTATAAGTTGTAGCTGTATCACAAGGGGTTCACTATAAGTTGTAGCAGTATCACAAGGGGTACATTATAAGTTGTAGCAGTATCACAAGGGGTACATTATAAGTTGTAGCAGTATCACAAGGGGTTCACTATAAGTTGTAGCAGTATCACAAGAGGTACACTATAAGTTGTAGCAGTATCACAAGGGGTACATTATAAGTTGTAGCAGTATCACAAGGGGTTCACTATAAGTTGTAGCAGTATCACAAGGGGTACACTATAAGTTGTAGCAGTATCACAAGGGGTACATTATAAGTTGTAGCAGTATCACAAGGGGTACATTATAAGTTGTAGCAGTATCACAGGGGGTTCACTATAAGTTGTAGCAGTATCACAAGGGGTTCACTATAAGTTGTAGCAGTATCACAAGGGGTTCACTATAAGTTGTAGCAGTATCACAAGGGGTTCACTATAAGTTGTAGCAGTATCACAAGGGGTTCACTATAAGTTGTAGCAGTATCACAAGGGGTTCACTATAAGTTGTAGCAGTACCACAAGGGGTACACTATAAGTTGTAGCAGTATCACAAGGGGTTCACTATAAGTTGTAGCAGTATCACAAGGGGTTCACTATAAGTTGTAGCAGTATCACAAGGGGTTCATGTGGTTTTATGCGTCCGTCATTATGTTTTTATCACTGGCGGCAAGTTTATCTCCATCCATATATGATAAACTGTCGGGCAAATGAAAGTATAATCACATTATTGTATCAGCTGATATTATGATATTATTTACAGGGGTGTTGTCTTAAACCTGTTCGCTTGGCAGTTATCTTGTAACAGTTACGGGGGCGCGGGTGGCCCTGTCGTCTAAGGCACGCCAGAAACCTATGATTGGGGGTTCGAATCCCGGTTCGCCCCAATTATGTTTCTAGGTTTGTCAGCACCATACCCGTGCTCGTGGGTTTCACCGAAGTGGTAAACGTCTGACACCTGCATCACTTCGGGCTTTCCTCCCACATTAAGCTGACACGCCGCGATATAACTGGAATACTGTTAAAAGCGGCGTTAAACCCAACTCACTCACTCATTGTAACAGTTACATTTAACATTGTGTTTGTTTATTTCTTTTTGTTTAATGCTGCACTCATCAGTATTCCAGCCATTTGACGGCGGTCTGTATATATTTGAGTCTGGGTCAGACAATCCAGGGATTGATATTAAGAGCAACGATACCTGTCGGTTACGTAATACCATGCAACCGACCAAGGAAGCGAGTCTGACCACCCGATCCATTTAGTCGCCTCTAACGACCAGCACAAGTTCCTTGGGACCTGTTCTAACTCAAAGTCCCTGCGGGATCTTAGTGTAAGAACGGTCGCCCTACATGGTCGAAGAATATCATTATGACATTATCCTGGTGGAAAAGTTTTAGGGCACACTGAAACAGGTTTGTGTGTATGAGAAGATCTCAGCTGATCAATGGGAAATAAGACAGCAAATATAATTTCGTCATCGAGCTGATAGGAGTTGCCTCCCTTTCCGTCGCGCGGCCGATGCCAAGAAATATTTATGTGTTCGGGGATTTTCCTTCCTCTTTTTAAAGACGTGATGAAACTTTGTATCATTTTTTTATAACATATAATTAAACAATGCTGATTTGTCCTAAACACATATCTCGCCCATGTCCTTTAATAGTCAACGGCTTAGTTTAGTTTTGATTTGAAAAAAGTTTGAAATGATAACTAGAATCTCACTTACAGCTGAAATAACATTGCATTCTTATTGCATAATAATTCATACCGAAATTTAGAAACGTTATATTTTGTGGATGATATTGGTGTCATGGTTACCACAGCACCTCGTTTACAACAATAAGAAAATCTCTCATCTCCTCCGTTCATGAATGTTAAGCGTTAAGTGTTAAGAATATTAATATCTATCGTGACGAAATAGTCTTAGCACATTTTTTGTTCCTTTTTGCTTCAACGATGCATTAAAAATAGTACAAAGTGTATCACCCATCTTAAAACAGCGTAATGTTATCCTGTAAACCAACACTATTTTCACGCGGGAAAGGAGCACATGTGCATGTCAAAGAATACCGTTAGCTAAAATAAAAGACCCACCTTAACGTTCAAAATCCAGAATAATGTCCCAGTAATATATCTCCGAGTTTTAACCTACGTGAGACAATATAGGGATGTATCTCAACCCTCCTAAACTATTGTACTGTTATCTCACACGCGTGCCAAAGGTTGTCTCATATCTCATCGTCCCTGCACCGACCTGCTGATTGTAGCCATTGTAATCTTATATTTACGGACTTAAAGACAAGTTAGCACGTTTTGTGTAACAATGGATAATATTGCCACAATGAAATACCATTCATCAGGAAGGTTGTGTGCATTCTTGTCTTCGTTAAAATAATATCCAAGTCGATGTTTGACTTTTTTTACTATATTATTTTTATATTTGAAAACATTACGCAGTTATATAGCATTTTAAATATCAAGATGGCTTCACGCGTTATCCCCAGGTGGAGATTGATCCTATTCATCGGGAGGGTACTTACATTTAGTGAGTGAGTGAGTATTATTTTAAGCCGCTTTAAGCAATATTCCATCAATATCACGGCGGGGACACCAGAAATGGGCTTCACACATTGGACCCACGAGGGGGATTGAACCCGGCGAGCGAACACTTTCACCACTAGGCTACCCCGCCGCCCATTTACATCAAAACCACGAGACTACCGCCCATATAAGCCATAACTGTAACATATGCTCATTGCTATTAAGGGTAGGTGTGGTAGTCTTGTTATCAAAGCTCTCGACGCATGAAAGTCCGAGTTTCATACTTGACATGGGTACAATATGTGGAGCTTGTTCTAGTTTAGTTCGTTTGCTGTTTAAGGAAGCATTCATTAATATTCCATATGGCAGCGGAATGTAAACATTCGAATCTTGACCAGACAAAAAAAGTGATTGATCTTTTGAGCAACATCCTACGTCTCTGTTCACACGCGATCAAATAACACGCGAGTCAATAAGTCACATCTTACGACAAGCATAAATTGCCGGTTCCTATCCGGAATCCCTACAGGTTTTTTATGAGCACCAGGTCGTGTTTTGAAGAAATATATTGATATTAAACTACACTTGATGTTGGATGCTGGGTGATGAATTGCGAAACAAACATCGCCAAGCGTGGTTGATGTCCGGCAAGGGGGACAAAGCACTGTGTATTTTGTATGGTTGTTAACTGAAATTCACTCTCAGGATTCGGAAACCGGGTTTCCGGTTATATGAAGTATGTTATGTACAGCCTGTAGTATATATTTCGTTTCACGTGGATCACCATGAGCCAAGTTTAGGTGTGGCGAGGCTCCTGTTCGAATGGAAACCGGTCGGTATGGAGGTATACCTGTCCTAAATGCAATGACAGCGTATAAGACGAGGTTCATGTTTTGTTTCACTACGCATCATATGAGTGAGTTGGGTTTAACGCCGCTTTTAAAAGTATTCCAGTCATAACGCGGCGTGTCAGCTTAATGTGGGAGGAAAGCTCGAAGTGATGCAGGTGTCAGACGTTTACCACTTCGGTGAAACCCACGAGCACGGGTATGGTTCTGACAAACCTAGAAACATAATCGGGGCGAACCGGGATTCGAACCCACAATCATAGGTTTCTGGCGTGCCCAAGGGACGCAACTCTGCACAGCGAGTCGCGGTGTCTGAGACGACTGGGCCACCCGTGCCCCCTGTTTTGAAGTAGTCACCGAAAAGACGTTTAGTCTCTGAACACAATCCCACTCAGAATATTGCATGATACAATTTATGGATAACAACCTCTTCATTTACTGTAAAGGCGACGTTTCGGTATAGATCCTTTTACCATTGTCAAGTTGTCATCCGTCAACTTTTAAGTAATGCCAATCAAACAACTCTTTAAGGATGAAATGTACAAGCTTTAAAAATATTTACCCGTATTTGAATAAGGATTCCCTGAAAAGAATCCCACCTCGGCAATGTCGAGTCCGAAATAATCGGCTCTGGACCAGACAAATCCAGTGATTGACATCATGAGCATCGATGTAAATACAAATACATGAGTCCTGGCATCATATTCATAGTTTATGTTTATTGCGAATAATTAACACGCTTAATCACAACTTAACAGTTATCAAATTAAGATATAATGATGAATAACGATGCATAAATATTTCTTGGTTTTGATGAATATTTATTACTAATAATATGTACATATAATAATCCTGGGACAACACCAATACGAATTATTTAAAAAAAATGAAATATCATAAAGGGAACAAATATGATAAATACATTTCTTTCTTCTTCTGGGACTCTAAAATATGACAGCAGTTTGAAAAGTCGTATTTGACGGCTGTGAAATATATTTGCTTACGAAATACAAGTGTTGAAAGATGACGTAGGTGGTGTTGTTGTCTCCGTCATTCAGCTGAGATCAGGAAGTCCACGTTATCACAGATACATGCTGATATCACAGGGTAGTTTTAGTCATCTCCATTGAAGTATCCCGATCTGTAGGGGGCACGGGTGGCCCAGTCATCTGAGGCGCCGCGATTCGCTGTGCAGAGTTGTGTCCCTTGGGCACGCCAGAAACCTATGATTGTGGGTTCGATTCCCGCTTCACCACGATAATGTTTCTAGGTTTGTCAGCACCATACCCGTGCTCGTGGGTTTCACCGTAGAGGTAAACGTCTGCCACCTGCATCACTTCGGGCTTTCCTCCCACATTAAGCTGACACGCCGCGATATAACTGGAATACTGTTAAAAGCGGCGTAATACTTAACTCGCTCACTCATTCTGGCCACTCTATAGTTTGGACACTACATAGTGGTTGCAATCACGTTGATAAAACCTGTAAGCCGTGCGGATGTTTGGGATTCCTTCTCCAATGTTTTATGACTACCGTAAGCGACTCTAGAACAGGGACGGGATGTCACATGACATCTCAGTGTGAACAGTAAACGGACGTGTGACATGCAAATAAGACAAGCCTTTACTCTTTTACTCCGACGACGTTGGTCGGTGCTCACATTATCGACCCCTGGTTTGTCTGGCCAAGGGTTGGTTGTATACAGGATGTGGTGATAAAGATGAATCCGCATCATACAGAGTTGTGTCCTCTTGGTATACCTGGATCCTGTGGTAGTGGGTTCGAAACACGGATTCGGGTCCATGATAATCTGTGGACTGCCCATATTCCCCCTTACCCATAACCATATCCCCCTTTCCTTGAAGGTCAAGGTAATCTATGAACACGGTAGCACCAAGGAACTGTACACGTTTTTGATCAAATACAGGATGCGAAAACTTAGCGTGTGTCGACAAAAGTCTGTCGTTTTCACATTTCATGTAGGCCGAGCTTATATAATTCGCCCATAACATATGCATTTTCTTTCAGAATCATCTTTCCTTATCGGATGTAGACACGCATCACTTCCCAAATTATCTTGGCAATTGAAAATGATAGGTCGGAAAAATGTGCATCCATTCCGAATACATTAGGCGCACAGTCTCTATCCCTAAAGAAGTATTCCTCTTTACGATGCCTTTACCAATACCAAGATCTTCTGTAGAAGAATGGTGACACCCTCTGAAACAGAGTTATGAAACACATTTTACAAGCATGAAAATCTTAATTGAATCACATATACTGACGGGCAAATGAAAGTATACACCCATGTTTAATGGTGGCTGAAAAAGGAAACAAACGAGAAATGTGTATTCGATGGTGATGTATTTGATACGGGTATCAAACTTGTGTTTAGGACCTTAAGTTTCCGGTGTTTCGGCGACTGTTTTCAGCCTAGTAACGGTTTGATAATGTTTATGATTTTTTGGTCAAATCTAATTTTGAAGTATATACATTGTTTTGCCCGTAAGTTTAGGTTTGTACGGTGATACCTAATTAACTTGATAGAGTTATTGCAGACAATATAAACGTTCATAGTGGGCTCCGTGGTCTAATATCGTCACTCCGCTTGTATCAAACAATTGGTAACTCGATGTTTTGATGATCCTGGACTTCGGGTTAACGGGGTTTCATACACATTGCGAATACACATACTGGTATACATTAATGTCATATACATGTACTCAATTGTATTTAGATTGATATTATATATTGCTAAAGCATTGTGGGCGTAAGCGGCGACGAAATGGATCGGGTGGCCGTGCTCGGTGACATGGTCGATGGCGTGTCATCGTACCCCGACTGCGTTGATCTTTGGATTGGTCAGACTTGATTACTTACAGGTCGTCGTAATATAACACACACACACACACACACACACACACACACACACACACACACACACACACACACACGTGCACGTCGGTATATAAGTGCAATAATCTTGGACGCGACGTTAAACAACATTTCGCCTCACCTCAGAACAGTGTGCGATTAAATGAATGTTAAGTGGAAACCCGCTTATCCGGACCCCGGATATCCGCAAACCTCACAATACGGCCGCTTGGTGTACCTTCGAATTCTGTGTTGTGTTAATCCCATAATAAATATATCTCGCCGCCATGTTTATCATTTACCCAAATTTGAAAACAAACATTACCAGACGCCGTTTGGCTGCAAGGTTTGTTTGTTTCTTTGTTTGTTTAACGCCGCACTCAGCAATATTCCAACTATATGACGGCAGTCTGTAAATAATCGAATCTGGACCAGACAATCCAGAGATTGACAACATGACCATCGATCCACACAAATATGTACGATGACATGCATCAACCAAGTCAGCGAGCCTGACCACCCGATCCTGTTAGTCGCCTCTTACGACAAGCATAGTCGCCTATTACGGCAAACATGGGTTGCTTAAGACCTATTCTAACCCGGATCTTCACGGGTTTGCAAGGAGTTTGAAGACGATGATGTATATATTTTCCAGTTATTCGCCGATGTAGTGAGATACATGGAGATTTATCAAATCGTCATTGACCAAACTAGACTATATGTCCTCTAACATAGCGGTGTCCACCCACCAACAAGCTGTGTGAACTCTTCAGGCTTGTTCTTCCATAAGACGCCGAACCAGTAGATGGGGATGCCGGCGAACAGGATGGCCAGGCCGATGCCCATCTGGTGTGGACGCTGGTAGATGGCCAATACGAGAACTGCCAGATTGACTATCAGCTGGACGACAGGCACAAACAGCATTGTCTGAAAGAGAACAAGTGTCATGGCAATATTACATTGTATTCCTACGACACTTCCGTAAGTATACTCTATTCACAATACTCCCTAATATGATGGCAATATTACGATCTATTCATATGACACATTAATGTATGTTCCATATGGCAATAGTTTCTTTGACGACACTGCCCAAAACAATTAGCATACATGTTTGTTTGTTTGTTGTTTAACGCCGCACTCAGCAATAATTAATCGAGTCTGGGCCAGACAATCCAGTGATTGACATCATGCGCATCGATCAACGCAATTGGGACACGATGACATGAATCAACCAAGTCAGCGAGCCTGACCTACCGATCCCGTTAGTCGCCGCTTACGACAATCGCTGTCGCCTTTTACGACAAGCATGGGTTGCTGAAGACCTCTTCCACTAGCATACACGTATCTCTATTCAATACTATAAGTGTATTATGCGTATCTTGGCAACTGCTTTCGTAATATTGCTCACTCAATCTATTCAAATAGCACTGACATACTTCTTTTCTTATGGTTTCAATGAAAACGGTGTGGTCTGATGTGGTGTGACAATGCAATGCCTAATAACAAATGAAGTGGCATAGTTGTTACATTGCTGAGTTTTGCATTGAACAACAAACAAGATCAATCGTAACGCTCAAGGGAGTTGTGGAGGTCATATCTCCACGCGTGCTTTGTAAAATGGGACTCGCAGCTAGGCTGCCATACAAATGAACCAAATATATCCGATGCGGTTGGCAAGTCTAGATTTCTGAAAATGAAGAGAGACTCTGGGATCCTTTTTATTACATTTTATTAAGATAATTTAACAACTGGGTTTTTATCTAAATAGTTTCATTTCAGAGACTAGATGTTAGACTATTTAACAGCTTTATCCCTATTGACTCAATTGTTCATCCCCGATTCGTCAGATAAAAGAAACTGTGCTGTTGAAGACGGCGTTACGTCAAGGGTTGAAGATCCAGGTTAAAATTGGTCTTGGTCAACCCATGCTTGTCCCAAGAGGTGACAAACGGGATCGGGTGGTCAGGCTCGCTGACTTGCTTGATGTATGTCATCGTACCCCAATTGCGTGGATCGATGCGCGTGATGTCAATCACTGGATTGACTGGTTCAGACTCCATTATTTACAAACCGCCGTCATATATTTGGAATATTGTTGAGTGGATCGTTAACATAGAAACAAAACAAAACCAAGGGTTGATTGCCACAGTCGCTTACCCTATACGGCCTGACATCGTTTGGCTTCTTTATCCGCAGGTAGAGGAGCGACATGACGACGGCGATGCCCATGATGGTGGAGAAGAGACTGATGAAGACCATCATGGTCGTCAAGCCACCAGTATACAGCATGATCAGACCCCACGCGAGCTGGAACAGAACGTACACTCGATGTTTACATCAGGAAACAACATTAATCACTGGGGCCATCAGACCCCCAATTCATATTTTACGCCAAACATTTGACGCTTTTGATTTCGATTCCACACACATATCAAGATAATGTATCTGGACTTGAGCTGGAACAATGCAAACATGGAACCCAGCTCCCAGTATCATCAGAAGCTGTTTGTAGCCGCAATAAAATGTTCCAGTCCCGTAGATGGGATTCGAACCTCGGACCGATTCGAGGTCGGACGCCTAGTCCACATGACCAAAAGGTTAAACCCGTCAGCAGGCTAACGAGGTAAGGGTGTCATCTGTGGGATGACCCCACGCCACAGTACATACTACCCCGTCAAGAGAAGGTAAGTAAGTAAGTGAGTTGCGACCAAAGCAGTTTGGACTAGTATTTCATTTAAAAGTAAATGAAGGGGGTATATTTATATAAACATATACGGTATAAAGACCTACCAACACAAGAATGGCTGGCCAGGGGGTCAGGAATTTTGGGTGAATCATCCCAAAGATGGTTGGCATGTGACCCACTCTCGCGCCAGCAAATAACAATCTGCAAATAACATATATAAATATATAATAAATAAAAGCAGTGGCTAAAACATCGTAAGCAAGATACAATGTAGAATAGGGGTATGTATGGGTGCTTGTTGGTTTGGCTCAGTATGCAATGCATATCAAAATACATTCCTACCACTGATCAAACAGAACCTCGGTGTATTAGATGAAATACTATCACAGTTATGTTTGTTTGTTTGTTGCTTAAGGCCGCACTTAGCAATATTCCAGAAAAATGTCCAAATCTGGACCAGACAATCCAGTGATTGACATCATGAGCATCGATCAACGTTATTGGGATACGGTGACATGTTTCAACCATGTCAGCGAGCCTGACAACCCGATCCCGTTAGTCGACTCTTTCGACAAGCATGGGTTGCTGAAGACCAATTCTAACCCGGAATCTTCACGGATGTAATTGAGTGACATATGGATATATAAAGGTCTCCAGATATAAACACATGCCATTGTGAATTAACTGCAAATTACCATTTACATTGGGTATTGAATTTATGTCACTCCCTTCGATCCAGTCTATAAGTTTTCACCAATGAATAGAACAGTTTTAAAGACAAGTTTGTTTAAAATGCTGTTTCAGGCGACTTCAAATTTAAATCTGTTCGTGTACTGCCCCAAGTTTGTCACATGTCGCATAAACTCACAATGGCGAAATACATGTCTCATTAACAATAAGCGAGACATATCGACCTTTTTATGCATTATTCACTGCAATAGAGTTCATGTATATGTAGTGCCTGCATATACTATGAGTAATAACGATTTGTATAGAAATATGACCGACTGGTCCATGTGAAGTAAGAACATACATCAGCGATAGAAACTAACAGTTTTAGTCCACTAGTCCTTATAATGATGACATATAGCAAAACCCTTAAAAAGGGCAAATTTCTACTATTCCTCATGATACCTTAACTATTGAGCAGTTTGGCAATGACTACAGGACTAGTGCCAATTTCTAACGCTGTACATCTGTGAATAATGTCTTCCGTTGGAAAGTAGTTTGGAGATTTAGAGTAGAATAATGTTTAGTTTACCCTGAAGATAATGTTCAATGTCCTGAACAATGTAGCATTTATCAACACAGGTTTCCTTTGAACAGTTGCTATGTAAATATTTCATACCATGAAACGGTTTCTTTTTGTGTCAAGAGTACTTCGAAAAACAGAATAATACAATGTCATTCCAATGGCGAACATGACGACCAGCGACACGCTCATCCTAATATCCGAGTATCGAACTGAGCATGGGACAAAAGAAAGTACACGACGCGTCTCAGGTTGATAAAACATTTATATAAGGACATAAACTTGATAGCTTCTACCATAAAAATAACAAAAAATATCAAAAAAGAATAATAGGAATAAAAGGATATAACTGAAATCGCGTGCATCAACCAAACTGTTAATGACACTCGTTCTCGCTTGGGAATTTCACAATTGGCACTCCTGTCTTAAAATCAATACGTCACACACATAGTAATCTCAACTTGTTTGCTCGTTCTTCTGACAAGGCTATGCATACAAGTGAATTGACTACGTACGACTGCATTAAATGTCGTTATCGTTTTGAAATGTCACGTGTCGACTGCTCGACGCCCTTACCTTGAATTTCTTATCTGTTCTTGGAATTTATTTCTGTGATGAAAACATTATGCGTGGCCCAGGAACCTTTTGTATTATACTATTTTAGATTCGGGAAATGTGCAACATTGATCAAACATCGCGGGTTACTAGAAAGAACATATTTGGAGGAAACATGTACCGTATATCCTTGAATAAACGCCGGGTATAACGACCCTCTGCCTTGAAAAAATGCCAGTCTTCAGTAAACGCCGGGTCGTATATATCTTAATCTACAAAATGTATTACGTAATGCTTCCTCTTCCTACCAATTAGTGTCTGTGAGAATCCATACCGTACACCGCGAGTGCGTGAGTATGGTTTTACGCCGCTTTTAGCAATATTCCAACAATATGACGGCGGGGGACACCAGAGCGGCTTCACACATTGTACCCATGTGGGGGAATCGAAAACGGGCGTTTGGCATGACGAGCGAACGCTTTAACCACAAGGCTACCCCAGCACCCTCGACCAGTAGAAGGGCTTGTATTTCGGCGTGGTGATAAACTCATAATCATATAAGTAAAGAATGAATAAATGCTCGAGTGAGTGAGTGTATAAAAATAATTTAATCTCAAGTTTAAATTAATGAGTGAATGAGTGAGCGAAAGAAACGAACAAATGAACAAACAATTTCCACAGAAATTACAAGGTGACAATTACAGTTTGAATAAATGCCACTTCTCCGTAACCCACATTCTATTTCCAACGAAACCGGTCGAGTCTTATTCTGCAGTGACGCAAGGCTTCTAGATCCGGACATCCGCGCTATATTCTGGTAACGCGGCAGGTTACGGCGACATCCGGCTTGCATTGTCATGGCCGTTTCAGCTGAGGTCACCGTGCCCCTAACAAACATGCATTGTCAGTGGCGAGTTTATCAATTCACCGTAACCATATCCGGTACTTGTACCGAGATGACCCAACGTGTACACGAACATGACACAGCGGTTAATGCCCGGGCCTAGCATTATACTGCTACAAGCTGATTTGCAAATTTTCGCCCGACTTTTTCTCTGATTAAAAAACCCCCACTATTCTAAACTCTAAGCAGTCCGGCCCAGTGAAAGCATTTCAGTCAGATTTACGGATTGTTATGCATAATTATAAGATATAGGATACCACAACAGCGACAGGAGTATGACAGTATATAACAAACATCAAATGATCCTATCGTTAACTATACGGAGGTTTGGTGTCTCCATGTGAAGCCGTACAACCATTGTAAACAAAGGATAAAAATAGTTTGTCACGTTTCAGGATGTTTTGTCAACGAAGGTTCACCATTTCATTACGTGTTTATCTGCACGTGTTGGATAAGTATAACTATATGGTTGAGCAGCTTCTTTATTACAATTAGGAGCGACGTGTAGGTTCATCCATACATCTATCTCATCCTTATTGTACTGCGACTTCTAAGGGGGCACGGGTGGCCCAGTCGTCTAAGGTTGCCTCCCTTGGGCACGCCAGAAACCTATGATTGTGGGTTCGAATCCCGCTTCACCACATTAATGTTTCAAGGTTTGCCAGCACCATATCCGTGCTCGTGGGTTTAACCGAAGTGGTAAATGTCTGAGACCTGCATCACTTCGGCTTTCCTCTCACATTAAGCTGACACGCCGCGATATATCTGCATTACTGTTAAAAGCGGCGTTAAACCCAACTCATTCACTACTACCACTACTACTAATGATTCATTTTAGTATGTTAATAAATATGAGCAACAACCATATTTCATCAATATGATAACTGTTCAACTTCGTGTTAAAATATATGTAAATTCCTTAATAGTTTAATTTAAATATATATATATATAAATATATATATATATATATATATATATATATATATATATATGTTGATTAATGATAAAATGCTAGCATGCAAGCATATAGGAGGTATACTCGGACGGAGAGCTTGGCAAACAAGGCACACTGATGATATCGATACCTAATATTTTCTGTTGCTTATTCTATCATAGTTCTCAAATCACTATAATTATTCCATAATTATGGTGGTCTTATTTCAACAATAAGTTTTGTGTTTTCTCAATATTTTATCTTACAACTAGCCAAACCTAAATATATTTCTTTAGATAATTTAAGTCCACACCAGTCCACGTAACTGACCGTCACAATCCAGTGAATCTGGCTTAACAAACTCAACCAAGCAGCCAAGGCTAGGGTATGCGCCAGGCTGAAATATGCCGCGCGAGGCCGGAAGAACCCTCATTTTCAATAGATAATATCGGCTAGGTAGGTATATAAAGGAAATTAAGCGGTCACCGCATTCCTTAACTAAGGAATAATCGCAATAAATACACCAATAAGGCTTGTGTATGCATTAATATTATATAGAAGTTTAAGCGCTTGTAGAATTTTGCATCTTGTGAATGTATGTGCATTTATGCCATCCAACAAGTCAACAAGAAAAAATAATGGTATTCCTCCTGAGAAAAATGTAAGACATCGTATCATAATGGTAGCCCACGTCGTCCTTGTCAGGTATGCATACAGTTGGGACAATTTTAAAAAAGATGATCCTCATCATGAAATGAATAAACCTTATCATCCAGGTAAAAAGCATTAATATCCAGTGAATATATTTTGTAACATGGAAAGCTAATAAAAGTACAAAAAAGTTGTTTCAGTAGAAACCTCTGTTTAAAAACTCCATTTGACAGAGACTATAGAGTGAATATGTCATCTGCTAGGAAATTGTATTTACTGTTTGTAGGTCGCACTTGAGAACGAGGCTTGGTTTTTACGGGAAAAGATATCAATTACAAAATTGAGGCTATGCTCGCACACTGCCAGGCATTTGACAGATTTAGATTACAGTTTCAATATTAGGTAACTAGCACATTCTTCAGAAGGCCCGATATATACACTAGGATATCTCCAGTGGCAGATACTTCACTTTGCTACGTTAAAAAGATTTCAAGGGGCTCAGCAGCCAGTACATGTACGAAGGTAATTCCCCAACTCGCTTTGTCATTGTGACGTAGCAAACGGGACCACCCCCAGAGAAGCCAAAACGGTCCCCCAAACAAGCTACTTCACTTCTAATGAATATGTGCGGGTCCTGCCTTAAATCGACTGAACACTGCGATGTTAGTCATGACCCGGATACATGGAGCTAACTCCCGGAATATATATATATATCCGGGTTGGTTCCGAGAAAAACCTGTGACGTGTTGTCTACACCCAGCTCGGTCAACACACAGCGGATAAACACTGCCCTGTCTTTATAGGTCTCAATTTCCCTTTATAAATATGTTCTTGTCTTATCTTACTGTAGGTATATTATAATAGTAAAGAATTTGTTATATTTTCTTGTCAAAATCCATTATTTGTTTACATACACTAAACACAAAATATGTTCAAGGAAAGGAACACTCGTGATATTTTATCAGGTGAGGTGAAATGGGGTTTAACGTCGCGTCCAAGATTATTGCACTTCTATAGCGACGTGCATGTACGTGTATGTGTGTGGCTGCTTGTACTAGTCCGGGCTGATGCCGATTTATAGTGCTAGCTCACTGAGATACCATGCCGCAGTTTAACATGAATACCCCACTCAGACATAGTCTACTGACCCCGAGCCCTTGTTTTAGCCCCTTAATGCCGAGCGCCAGACAAGTATCATCTGTTAACGTCTTTTGGTATGACGCGGCCTGGGATCGAACCCCGGACGTCCCGCTCTCCGGGCGGACGCTCTACCACTAGACCACGGAGGCGGTCTGATATTCGATCAAGATACATTTTACAGAATGCCATCCCATATATAAATCAGCCAATATTTAGACGTACAATGTATGTTAATACGACGTGTCAATTGAGAAAGTGAATGAATGTTATTTTACACCACAGTGTTTCGGGTGTACGTTGCGGTATATAATATAATACGGATAATGTCAACAATTTAAAGTCGTCCTCACCTGGAATGGCCCATGATGGATGCGTTAAGGGCTCCAATCGACGTAGTTGCGACGAATACAGAGACCAGCGGAGCGATGGGACCGTAAAGACGCTCTGCGAACAGCTGTAAAAATAGCAGATTAAACTTAATTTGAAACCCCAAATTGTAGTTTTAAATGAATATATAAACAACTATTTTATTGATATATGTAAATATGATCAAATTTATTGTAATGTTTTCGACAGGAAGTAACACGAAAATTTACGTGTAATTTTTATTTATATTCTCGGGGGATATTAAACTAAACTGTACATAATTCTGTGCACATGTTAAATGAAATTACAGTTGATTTTTAAAATTAATATGGCTATGTGTTACAGAAAAGGAATTAATTTTCTTTCACTGACAGTAAACGACACGAGGAGAGAAAATACACACGTTTATAATACATAAACTAAACCATAGTGATACACATTTAATGTCCAATCGTTTGTTAATCTAGACGTTAATCCGTCTGTATTAACGGAGTTTCATTACCGTATATGAACGCAGATAAGCCGACCCCGTAGATAAGCCGAGGTATTAACTTGACCATAGAAATACGAAAGAAAATGATATGACCCGCAGATAAGCCGAACCAGGAAGTGAAAGGTAAAAAACACCGCGAAGTCGGACTGCTAGACATGTGCCGGTACTCGCAGATATTCAATAATATAAGATGAAAAACGTTGTAATTATATTGAAAAAGTCATTATTATTTCTAATAAGGTATGTATTTTATGTACTACTTTTATTATTCTATATTGTCGCGTAAATTGGACATTGCAATTTCATACTTAACGTTAACACAATAAATGCCAAATATTTCGTAACACGTTTGCTTTGACGCGCATGGCCTGTCATAGTTCAATCATCTGTAGTGTACTTACAAACGCCACTGCCTTTGACTGCAACATCTCAGCGGGGGTGATGAGGGTGAAGTACGCGATGTTGGTGAGGATGTACTTAGTGATCACGATAACGAAGGTGATGTACACTGACAGAGGGAGGTCCCTATAATAATAATAATAACAAAAATAATAATAATGATGATGATGATGATAATATTACTACTAATGATGATGATGATGATGACATGAATACAAGACCATATGTTTGAGTATATCGCAACATACTCACCGACAAAACAAACGCGAACACCGTAAATATTTTCTAACATATCAAGATATACTCGTATTCATGAGATATAAGATTGGTTTGATGCACAAACGAACATACTGGTGTGTTGTATAAATCGACGCTCATGGTGATTGTTAGTTTTGTCATTAATTGGTACACATTGAAAACATCTCTTCTTTACGAACAGGGGCGGTGGGTTGCCAAGTGGTTAAAGCGTTCGCTCGTCACGTCGGATGTCCGGGTTCGATTCCCCACATGGGTACAATGTGTGAAGCCAATTTCTGTTGTTCCCCGCCGTGATATTGCTGGAATATTGTTAAACGTGGCGTAAAACCACACTCACTCACTCTTAACGTACATACGTCTCTATATGTTTCTATAGTTCGCGTTTCTCTTGGCGATGACTATATATTTACATACATACAACCATATGTTAATATATAGCCATATGTGAATAAATAACCATTCGTGAATATATAACCACATTTAAATATATACCCCTATGAGAATAAAAAGCCCAACGTAAAAAGGCCATATGTGAGAAACCGTTTTCTCTGTAATATATTCACCTTCCAGGATTTTTCACCTCCTCTGTAAGTGACGTCATCACTTGCCTGAAAAGAAAGAAAACACCGTATCACCCGTACAGAATTGCTCGGAGGTGCGATTTGAATATTTTTTAACCGTTGGTTAATTAAGCTAAACTTCCAAACAACCAGCAAAGGTACAATATACAATTTACAACAAAAGCGTAAAGTTAGAAAAATTAAAGTATTTGTTTTCACAAGTATAGATAAAATTTAAGGGCGAATTAGATCTAATTTTCCCCAAAACGCGTAAACTGTTATCTGTTGGGTGAAATATGTAGCTGAAACACATCACCACTTTAACTGATGCACTCCGAATAATGCAAAGTTTAGTGAAGATTACTTGAAAAAGATGCGAGATGCCCCTGTCTCGTTATCTACCATGCACAGCATGTTGAATATTTCCCTGTCACGATTTCCGACAAGTTAATATTTGATAGGGATCTTACCAGCCTCCGTAGGAAAATATGGCGTAGAAAATAGACACAGCAAACTCCCCCGGCTCCTGAGTCGTGCCCTCAAATACATTCTCAAAGTTGTCGCGTTTACCTGGAGGACAGAAATGATACCTGCATACTCACTCATAGTTGTGTTGTTTGTACATGGTGGTTGTAGACTAATGACTTTATGACTGACGTAAGCTGCCTATTTGTCATTATACATAATTATCGTAAGATGTAACATCCGTCGTCCTTACTATCATCGCATCACAAAAATAATAAAAGACATATGAATATTAGTATCAGTTTATCGTTACAAACTACAATGATGCCATTAGTAGTTGAATGTTCAGCAACAGAAGAGCAAGAGGAATAAAACTACTACAACTACGACTACGACGACTACTACTACTAGTAGTAGTACTAGTACTACTAATAGTCGTGAATTTTCTTACATTCGGCTTAACTAAGTATCAAAGGGTGTAGGCATTGTCATTTTTATTATTATTATCAGTATCCTTATAACATAATTATCGTCGTTGTCAAAATGAATTCTGTTTACAGTCAATTTCAAACGTCCTATTTTAAAATGTATTCAGGTATTCCCATTATTATGATTATGATAATGATTTCATTCGAATTGTCTTGTTTAACAACTCATGTCTAACCCCTATGATAATGCCTTGTGTCCAAATCACATCCTCGTCATCGTTACCTTGTACCAGCATGGCAATGCCCCCGCTGATGATGATGAGAAGAGCAAGGATCTTTGTGCTGGAGAGTAGGGTCTGGACCTTCGTCACAAACTTCATGAAAGTGCAGTTGAGAGCCACCATGGTGACTGAAATAATGCGGAACATTTGCTACAGTCTCTGTAAAGTCATGGTTAAACTTGTGAGCAAAATACCCAAGTTAATCCCATGTATTAAAAAACCAAACGAATATATAATAACGTTATCCCATACATGTAATCAAGTATATTGTTTCAATGAGAAGGTGATAATGACATTCCAAATTCCAAGTATGCCAATGTGTATACTGCACTGTGTTTACTGTTAGATCTAGCAGACACGGATGTGTTTCGCGTAACGTTTAGGTTAAGCGTAGTCTTGGTTGTTCTACATCCCTTTCAAAGTTATTTTTATCTCAGGAAATAAAGAATTAAATATTCTAACTTACATGTAGAAAGTATTGTCAACATAGGCCAGCTGACAGACAAACAAACTAAAGGTTTGCCACGAGAACATATCTTTGCGTGATCAAATATTTGTCATTATGTCGTACAGTTGCCTTGTAACATTACTAATATGACTAAACCAGGTTAGAGCATTTTAATTAGAGTGAGTGTGAGCATGGTTTTACGCCGCTTATAGCAATATTCCAGCAATATCACGGCGGGGGACACCAGAAATGGGCTTCACACATAGTACCCATGTCGGGAATCGAACCCGGGTCTTTGACGTGACGAGCGAACGCTTTAACCACTAGGCTGCTCGACCGCCCCATTTTAATTAGAGACTCAATTCGTTTTCATTCAAACTAAAAAAACTCATAAATACTCCATTGCTATAATTATAGAAAGAAAACAAACTACAGACGTCACAGCAAATTAAGCTTTCTTAACTATACTTTCCCCCCATCTTCGGTGATAATGATGTTCCCGTGAAGAGGATATTTAATTCCGATTCACCTTTAGATTTTGATGCTATGTATCAATAAGATTTTTCATTTCACCCGAATATCTACTCACTCATAATCCATCCGGCCAGCAACTTCACGCCTAATTCCACTGTCTCCGTTTCACAGTCAGGGAACGCTGGTTTAACAATGTACAATGCCGCTGTGTAGGCTAAGAATGCCCAGAATGGTCCTGCGATGAGCACAACATACCCGTACATTATCAGGAACCCTGGCAGAGGACCAAAAGTCTTCAAAACATAAGCATACGGGCCACCAGCATGGGGGAACATGGTTCCCAGTTCGGCGAAGCACAACGCCAGTCCCATGTTGATCAGCCCTCCTACCAACCAGACGATGAGGGCGGCGCCGATGGAGCCAGTGGAGCCGAGTATGGAGCCGGGGGAAATGAAGACCGAGGAGTGACCGGTGACTGCAACCATGATGGCAGTGCAATGAAGGAGGTTGATGGACTTCTTCAATGTTGGGGCTGCTGGCGCGGGGGATGAGGATGAGGGTTTGGGATCTGATGCTGGGTGAATTCCATTGTCAGAATCTTCTATGGAAGCTATTCCACTGCTGTCGGAGGCTGTTTCAGTAACATCGGGTTGATATGACGGGTTAGAGTGAGCCTGGATTGTGAATATACTTGGTTCCTCTTTGCTTGACGTGGTAAAGTCGACGCCTCCAGTTTTTCGTTTGAAAACAGCCATTTCGAAACTTTTAAAGTTTCCCTTGAGTTTATAGTTCAGTATAAAATCCAAGGATACGTGTGTTACCTGCATACAAAGAAAATCCAAACCGTTATAAGTGGTAACTGACTCCTAAACGATATTTACGACATTGGAGATGAATTCCACAATAATTTGAAATGTAAATATTTCGATGAACAATGGGAAAAGAACATTACAAATTATTATTTGAAAAGATCAGAAATGATTTAACTGCCGTATGATATCTGTCCAAAAGAAACTATGTAAATTTGTTAACCTTATAATTGAAATGGTAAACACTCCCGGTTAGCCTCTGTTCGACGGAAAGTAATTTGCAGATTGTACCTCATGTGCCGATGTATTCGGCCTGAGTGCTGTTCTGTTGTTCGAACGATGGAAAGACTCACACTGACTGCGAATGTCACGTCACAACTGCAGTATATAGTTGGGAAGCCGGATCCTACTGTACAGTTCGACCGTTGTACAATAGACAGCCCGACGCGTCAACTGCCCTACAACACGCCTATGTACAGCCTAAACGACTTAACATAGCTCCACAACGGTAAGCTGTACAGTCACGTGTATGCAAACATTAGGTCCGGGTTTTGAGGGAAGTCCGGTGTATCGGCATGTATGGTCACAATTAATGGAAAAGCCCCCACCTTGATCGTCTTAGGATTTCATAAGGAAGCTAACGGATGTGTTGTTGTCCTGGAGAGGGTCCGTATCGTCGTGATCGCGCGCGCGCACGTGTGAGAGAGAGATGAGGTGAGGTGAGGTGAGGTGAGGTGAGGTGAGTTTAGGTGAGGTGAAATGGCGTTTAACGTTGCGTCCAAGATAACGGCACTTATATAGCTACGTGCAGGCACGTGTTTGCGTGGCTGCTTGTACTAGTCCGGGCTGATGCCGATTTATAGTGCTAGCCCACTGAGATACCATGCCGCAGTTTAACATAAATACCCCACTCAGACACAGTAAACTGACTCCGAGCCGACCAGTCCTTGTGTTAGCCCTTTAATACCGAGCGCCAGACAGGTTAACAACAAGTACCATCTTTTAACGCCTTTTGGTATGACGCATCGGGTCCGCGCGCGCGCGCGTGCGTGCGTGCTTGCGTACGTGCGTGCGTGCTGTGTGTGTGTGTGCGTGCGTACGTGCGTGCGTGCGTGCGTTCGTGCGTGCGTACGTGTGTGTGTGTGTGTTGGGAGGGAATTAGGGCTCGGATGTTTGTCAGTGACGATTTCGGCCATTCCTTGAAACCATACATTTTCTTTGAAGCCATACAAACTTTAATGTAAGCATATTTTTTCTGGAACAAATTATTCTTCTCAAACAGAACGTCACTCAAAATACCTGAAGTGAACTGATGTATTCTTTGACTGATGATGGAGATATCTAAGGTGTTTATACAATAATTAAATTTGAAATAATATATCAAATCAATTTACATTTTGATTTGAAATTAATTTCTTTTTATTCAATTTATAGTGAATTGGGGCTTGAAGGAGAAAGAGTGAGTGAGTGAGTATGGTTTAACGCCGCTTTTAGCAATATTCCAGCAATGTCACGGCGGGGGACACCAGAAATGGGCTTCACACATTGTACCCATGTCGGGAATCGAACCCGGGTCTTCAGCGTGACGAGCGCACGCTTGAAGGAGAAAGACCGATTTAGGTGTGACATATTGAAACAACGGCCTACCGTGGTCTGACACGACCTGGTATGTGCACTAATAGAAGACCAATCATGCTGTGGAGCCGTGTTGTACATATCATGATATAACTATTTTCAGTCGTATGTTATCAACGAATGATATACTCACACATACGTCTACCTGGAGCGTATACAAGTGTTTTGTTTGTTTGTTGTTTAACGCCGCACTCAGCAATATTCCAGCTATATGACAGCGGTATGTAAATAATGGAGTCTACACAAGGCAGTCCAGTGATTGACATCATTAGCATCGATCCACGCAAATGGGACACGATGACATGCATCAACCAAGTCAGCAAGCGTGACCATCCGATCCCGTTAGTCGCCTCTTACGACAAGCGCGGTCGCCTTTTACGGCAAGCATGGGTTGAAAAGGGTCTATTCTGACCCGGATCTTCACGGTTCGCGTACACGAGTGACCACACAGGATAGCTGCTCCTGGCAACGGCCTCCAATTACTCGTCAAACAATGAGGCCCATCTCTATTCTAATTTATAGCTCCTGAGAATAAATGTGTACTTCGCAATGCAGATTGTGAACTGCCAATCTTCAATAGGGGTGAATATGTCAGTTTGAGATGGTGGAAAAGTAATGACAAATCTGTAACAACATATTAATTGACACAATCCTTAAAATATTTGTTAAATCTACTTGTCCCCGGGTGTGAGGGGAGCGGGCATGTACTTACCAGGGTTATTAGCATTATGTAGCTTCCGTGTTAAAAACATATACACGCAGAAAACAAACGATGAAACGCATAGACTTGTTGATGGATGTTTGTGGCATTTATTCAGTTCCGATACATTGTCACGGGACATGTACATGTATTACAACAAGATGTTGTCCTGTGATATCTGGATAAACACTAGATATAGTAGCTTGAGACGGGAACTACTACTTGTCCGCTGTGAATAGTATCTTGTCACGGGGATGGGCAAGCAGCTTTTTCAAACACTGATGATACACGAATGAGAGAGTCAGTGAGTTTGGTTTTACTTTGGTATAGTAGTACAGTAAACTACGGTTATAACGAACACGCTTATAACGAACTGACGGTTATAACGAAGTTACTTTTTTGGTCCCGACTATTTGCTGTAGTTATTCTGTATATATGCTTATAACGAACTACGGTTATAACGAACTAAAATTAGTAGTCCCTTTTGAGTTCGTTATAACCGTAGTTTACTGTATGTGTTTCTATACGAATAATAATGAGAGCGAAGAATGTAGTTATGTTTCGGAATGATGGGATACTGATGTGATGTTTTGTTCATTCATTTTGCGTTTGAATTGGTCACAACTTACTTCGAGGGTCCAACTTACAAACTTTTATCACACGGTCGACCATCGTGAATACTTCACGGAAAACCCGTGAAGATCTGGGTAAGACTTGATCTTCAGCAAAACATGACTAACAGGTTCCGGTGGCCAGGCACGCTGACTTGGTTGATGCATGTCATCGTATCCCAATGGCGTGGATCGATGCTCATGATGTCAATCGCAGGATTGACTGATCCAGACTCTAATATGTACAGGCCGCCGTCATACAACTGAGTGCGGCGTTTAACAACAAACCAACAAACACAACTAGAACTAAAGAAGACCAGTGAGACGGCCTCATGTCTAGAGGGCATTGCATCACGACTCCAACATTATGACCTGACTGACTTGTACGTAAAATCAATATAAATACGCTTGGCTTATTACGCCAGAAGTAAGACGCGCTATTTACTAAATGTAGATATACATATACACGATAATAACAATAACCTCAAACTAAGTTCAATAAAACATGACATAATTGTATTTGGTGCGTAACAATAGTAGCTGTAGGATATGAGTGAGTTTGGTTTAACGCCGCTTTTAACAGTATTCCAGTTATATCACGGCGTGTCAGCTTAATGTAGGAGGAAAGCCCGAAGTGATGCATGTCTTAGACGTTTACCGCTTCGGTGAAACCCAGGAGTATGGTGCTGACAAACCTAGAAACATAATCGGGGAGAACCGGAATTCGAACCCACAATCATAGGTTTCTGGCATGCCCAAGGGACGCAACTCTGCACAGCGAATCGCGGCGCCTTAGACGACTGGGCCACCCGTGCCCCCTGTAGGATATGAACGGTATTGATAACTGTCTGTTTATCGTTCAATATACCGCCCGATTAACGTTACTTTCATGATATGTTTATTTGAAATATATGTATTCTGAAACTGTGTTTATTCGGATATTTATAATGGCTAATCATATTCAAATAATAGGGAACTGTTCATTAACGCACGCTTGTGGTGCTAAACATCTTTTATGAAAAACACAAAGTATAGTTAACATCTGTTCAGGTAAACAAATGCCTTAAACACACAAGTTAGTGTGTATGATCTTTCATATATGCACAGGCAATAATGGACGCTTCATTATTCAAACACACAAGGGACAAGTACACATACACAGTGCAAATATGTCTCTACCGTCTTACATTAGATTGCTGAACTTGACCACCTGTAAAAACATAGACTATCTTAGACCATCCTTATTTCGCACTCGAGGTACTTCTGCTTGTCAACGTTTATGTTAAACGTTGAAGTTCTGTTGTAAGTGAATTTGAATTAATAACAGGTTGTCGAAAGGCATCTAGTCGAAAGCATGGTTGAGAAATGAATTCTTCCAAATACACATTTAGCACAGTTTGAGAAAGTGGTCACTTTTTGGAGTGCAATGCATTAATTGAACCAATACCTAAATTATGAGAATCTCGGTCACAGAATAGGGAAGGCCCCAACAACTGTTGTGGGAACAGTGATCAGTGCAAAATAAATTGGTGATCATGCTCTCTGTGTGTGAAAAACATACATCTCTTTGTTTTAATTTTCAATTCATTGATGGACTGGAAGACGTGAAGTTTGTGTAAAAATGATGATATACCTGTATTATGCAAACTAACAAGAACAAGTGGTTCTTATTATAACATCAGATCAGTAGTATAGGCGTGTCTTTTGCCGTAATATAACATAATCAGCAATATTCCAGCTATATGACGGCGTGTGGCTGTTGCAGTAATATTATAAACAGCAATATTCCAGCTATATGACGGCGTGTGGCTGTTGCAGTAATATTATAATCAACAATATTCCAGCTATATGACGGCGTGTGGCTGTTGCAGTAACATTATAATCAACAATATTCCAGCTATATGACGGTGTGTGTCTGTTGCAGTAACATTATAAACAGCAATATTCCAGCTATATGACGGTGTCTGTTTGTTGCAGTAACATTATAAACAGCAATATTCCAGCTATATGACGGTGTGTGTCTGTTGCAGTAACATTATAATCAACAATATTCCAGCTATATGACGGTGTGTGTCTGTTGCAGTAACATTATAATCAACAATATTTCAGCTATATGACGGCGTGTGTCTGTTGCAGTAATATCATAATCAACAATATTCCAGCTATATTACGGCAGCCTGTAAATGGTAAAGTCTGGATCAGACAATTTAGTAATTGATATTAAGAGCAAAGATCCATACCATGGCTAACACGCCATCAACCAACGAGCGAGCCCCACTACCCGACCCATCCAGTCGCCTCTTACAACCAGCATATGCTACTTGGGATCATTGAGATAGAATGCGTTATACAATATGGAAGTTGGAGTATTAAGTAAATGATGGATTTCATATATGGATGAACAACTTCTTTATTACCGTCGCCCGTG